AACCCCAAACAATCCTTTCCATTATGCTACCTCCCATATGTTTTAATGATAATATGTTTCTCTGAAATCCTCTCAAAATCCATCTCAGTATTTGGATTCCTTCAGTCACGTTTTTCTACTACCTTTGTATATACCTTGAAGACAAATTCAGAAATTGAGATTTTTATAAAATAGGCCATTACACTGACATCTTTTCTTACTAAGTCTGCCTGATTCGAGGAGTAAAACTGTTGGGCGTTATGTATTTGAGCCATGATTTTGGCCATTGATCCTAAACAGAGAATTACCCCAGTTAAGGTAAAATGGTTTTTTCATTTTGCTAAGACTAAATTAATATTTTGGTCTCCATTTATCTTAGTGGAGGCATTTAAGTTCTGAACACTAATAACTGCTATTGGACATCTGTCAAATTTTTAGATCAGAGCCATGTCAAACCCCTCAGAAACTGAAGATTAACATTTTACGGTGATGATTGTAACATATCCCACAAAGAAGCTCCATAGGCTTTGAAAATTTACAGTTAGCATGTCACCTTTAAGTTAATACAAGGATATGAAGTGCCCATGGAGGTGTTGGATTGCCTGTGCTGTGGGCGGGCAGGTTGCTGAGCCCTGTTGACTCTTTGGCCAACCCTGGGGGGCCGAAGCTCTGCGGTGTTGTGGGACAACCCGGGAGAGCAGACCTCAGCCTGTGGTGCGCAGGCAGGAGGCGAGACCAGCTCCTAGAGACCCCCCCAGTGCTGCACAGCAGGATGAGGCGAGGCTGGGCTGGACATGTCTGGAGTCCCATCATCTCTCTCATGTGAGAGCCTGGTGGAGAGGGACCTTTGTGGTGTCCACATGTGGGCTAGGAGCTGAGCCCGGCAGCTGTTCTCCCAGAAACATGAGCAGCAGCTCATCCTTCTCCGCTCTGGAGGAGAGCGGCTTTAAGATCTGCCCCTCCTTTAGGGTGAACTCCTGGCTCCAGTAAAGCCAGTGGTAGGATTGGTTTTGGCAGAGACGGGAGTTCTGTTCCTGGGGTTTACCAGCTCTCTGCACAGCAATAATCTTGCCAGGGGACAGTTTAGCTCTAAGGAAGGCTTTTATTCTTTCACGTAATCTACAAAGACATCTGTAATTACTGCTGGTAACTAAGGCAACTCAACTTTATAGTTGATGCATGCATGCATGCAGCAGAGCTACGGGTTATGGGTTTTTAAAATACCTTTCTGTTGTTGGTATGTGGCCGTGCTCAGGCAGGAGCTGTGCTGCGAGCCCGTGAGCGGCTTGAGCTGAGCCCTGCTAGTGGGTCTTGGAGAGGAGGAACACGGTGTAAACGGGGTTGCAATTAGCTTCGCTGACTTAACTGGGGACTCTGAAATCAGGGTTCGTTTGTTCTACTTGGGGACAGCGTTGAAAGGCCACGCAGGAGGCGGCGGTGGGGTTGGCACTCTCTGAAAGTAAGAGCCTCTTTGCTTATTTTAGGAGAATCCTGCTGTGTCCCTAATGAGGATGTTCATTTGGTCCAGGGAAATTAAATCATTTGTCCGTTCACTCGGTGCATGGCCTCGGATAGCCCAGGAATAAAACAAATTGCTCCTGGCAGCCGGCTTGTGAGTCTGCTGGTGGGGTAGGACATCAGCTATGCACATGTGAAGGTGCTGGGGGGAAAGTCTCTGTGGACACGGGGTGCGGGGCTCCTGCACGTCGGGGTGGTCTCTGCCAGTACCTTTGATCAGAGGACCCTGTTCCTCCTTTGCTTTGCTCCGTTAATATAATAAAAGTGTAATAAGTGTAATAATTCTTAGTGTTGTAGGGAAGAAAACCTGAGGAAAGGGCTATGCAATGCACTGTTTTGGTCTTCTAAGGGATAGCTTTTGCTTTGTGGCAGGTTGCATTTACTGGGAATGTTTGGGTTCTTGCATTTTTAGGTTGGAAATGTGTCAGTGATCTCTGAGAGTGCGTGCATGAGGATGTGAAATCTTTCTCCCAGATAAAATCATCCTCCGTGCATCACTGGAACACAGTTCTGCGGAAGCTGAGTCCTTCTCAAAGATGAGTTAAAGGCTCTTGGCCATTAATTTTTTTAAATGTGTTTTTTATATGAGTCATTTGGAAAAACTTTAAATAGCATATCTTGATTTTTTTTTTTGAAACAAGTTTTTTAACCAGACAATCTGGAGTATTTTCTTATGGTGAGCCTTTGGCAACATGTGAAATCCACCCCTGCTAGTAAAGCTGAGGATGTCTTTTAGGATGCTTTTTAAAAAGTTACTTGTCACGCTTTTTAGGAGAAACTGATTGATCTTTTTCAAAAATTCTGAAGCAAGGTTTTTGCTTTTAAAATACAGACAAACATTGGCAGAGTTGAGGCTTTATGAAGGCTTGTTGATCTGACATTTACTTTAGTGTTCAATGAAACTTGCTGTGTCCTTTGAACTGTATCTCTTGCCAGTGGAAAAGTTTGGAAATAATGAACCCTTGGTCTCCGGCACTGGAGTGCTAATAAATAAATCTCAGCGGTGTGCTTTTTCTTATTAGAGCTGCCTTATGATTTTTGTGTGCATCACTTGATTTTTGGATCCCGCGAGGTCTGTCTTTGACAATGACTGAAGCAGTGTCCCGCGGCGGGCCAGGTGGCCCGCCCCCAGAGCGAGGGGGACAGCGGTCCCCGCTGCCGCCTTTCGGTTTCACTTCTTTTTTTTTTTTTTCTTTTTTATTTATTTGTTTGTTTTGTTTGCTTTCTGTATGTGTTTCAGCTTTGGGCACTGAAAGCTCGGTGAAGTCACTTGCACTTCCAGAGCCTCATTTTTCACTCCTTGGCTCTGGCGTGCCGCAAGGGCAGGTTTAGCTGTTTAAAAAGCAAGGATTTACGCTGGCGTGTTTAAAGCTGTGGTCAAACTTCACTTGGCCTAAGATTTCAACCAGGGCTTTTGATAGATACAACACTGAGGCTTAGCTGAACTTGCCTGTGTCCCTGGAACAAGGGGACTCCCTTGCTGGGGCATGCAGACTTGGGGAAGAGCCGAGTGCCGCTGCTGCTCCATGCCCATGAACGCCGCTGGCGCTACGTGTGGCACAGAGCGAGTTCAGCTTTCGTCAGGGACAGAAAAGCTGTTTGTGTCATTGCCTGGTACCAGTCCCTTGAATACCAAACATTTAATAAGAGGTACTCTTCTTTCTGATTTTTTGTTTTTTTTTCTTTTGATCCAGCCATACTAAGCTAATTGGATGATGACTGTAACGCAGTCTGGGAAGTTGTCTCCCTCATCTGGGACATGTGCTGGGTGATGCTGTGCTCAGCCTTGTGGCTTCACTTATGACTGAAAATATTTCACTTGCTCAGCAAAGTGAAGGAACTGGACTTCGCTAGTTTTTGGCATTAACCTTTGTCTCGGGCACAAAGCTGGAGGCCGCTCAGTATGCAGGCGTGTATTCGAGCTGCGTGCAGCTTGGCTGCTATTCAGCATCTTGTTTCTAGAAGAAGGACAATGCAGCCCACTGAGGACAGCTGGGGGGGCAAAGAGCTTCGTGTGGTCTTGGGGGATGTGGTGCCGGTAACAGCCACTGGTCAGGAGCAGGCAACGGGGAGGGTGTAATGTTCAGCAAGGGCTTCACACTGTCAAGGGGTTGTAAATTGTGAATAATTGTGTTTTTCAAAGGAAAAGTCACTGTGTGTGAGTATAGGTGTATATAGATATGTATGTGCATGCATACACACCTTAGCAGAGGCTGGCAGACTGTTCTGGGGAAGGATCCCTCCATGCTTCCCTGGCTTTGTACCCTTCCTCAGACTTCATCTTCTGGTCACCGGTAAAGTCAGGATGCTGGGCTGCCCAGACCATTGGTTTAACCTGATTCAGCCTTTTTTATCGTGATACAAGCCCAGCTAAGAAGGATGGCGGGGGCGAGGGGACAAACGTGAAGCTGAGGGAAGCTGTCCTTTGGAAGGAAAACTCTGAGAAGGTCTCCAGTCTGGTGCATGGCGGCGGTGGGGTTGCCTTCAGAGGTCTGCCATTCGCTTGGGGTTGGCTTTCGACATGGACAACCTTGCTCGATTTGTCTCGTTTGCCTTTGCCTCCTGGCAGGTTTGAGGGGTGAGCCGTGGATGTAAGCAGAACAGGGACCTGGCTCTGAGTGCTGCTTTTTTCATAGGTGGAAACCTTTAGCTCCGAGTGATTTCACACACTTTCAGATCAGGGAGGTAGAGATATTGACCTGATGTCAATTCTGTATAAAAAGCCAATGCTCCCAACAAAGTAATGAGGACGCTTATGTGCCTTAGGCACCTGTTGGCCTGGTTAAACACAGCACATAACTGGGTGCATCTGGTTTGACATTACCTATATAGCTGATGGTTCTGGTAGGAAGGTCTGATTTAATAATTCTTTCTATACGTTTCAGTGGCAGTAAACAGACCTATTTCTAAAATGGAAATGGGATGTGGCCTCTGTAAAGCTAATGCTTTGGAAGCTGTGCAAGGAGTTTTAATAGTCCTTTTCTACTTGCCTCTATAGAAGAAGATACAAGTCATGTATTGTATGCTTGCATTTTTCAGATGGGACGTTGAAAACTAAACTTCTCTTTCTCTGTATGGATGTTAAAGTATCCACGGTACTCTCGTAGTTCCCAGTGCTGAAGTCTATTTCTATTCAGTGAAGCAATTATGTTCTGGCTTGAATTTCAACTTACACTGCTTTCCTGGCCTGAAGCCTGCAAGGCTGGGCTTCGTCCTTGAGCGTTTGGCACTTTTTCCTTTTCTTCCCTGCTGACTGAAATGTGGGCTGGGTTGGCTTTCAACATCCATGCAGAAGTAGCTGCATTTTGTGATGCTCTTCATATGGTGAACCTAAGCCGACTAACAAACATGCAAGTAACTCCGTGCATAATACCCTGTGCTGCAGTTTTATGATACTGTTTTTTTTTAAAGTGTCATTGAATCAAACTTTCTACTCCTTTTTTTTTTAAAGCATCATTGAATCAAACTTTCTACTCCTTTTTTCTCCCTGTTTTTTAGCATTAAGCAGAGTTCCCGATCTTCTGAGGCAACTGAAGATGAAAAGGACCAGCGCACAGTGACAGTCAACCCCTCTCACATGAGAAAGGCATTCAAGGTCATGAATGAATTACGGAGGTACACTTTTGACTTAATAGGCACCCTCTCTGGTTTAGCAGGAACATGCTGATTGGAACAGAAAGGCTTTTGGGAGACTTAGGGGGGAAAAAAAAATAAGTGCTGTCTTTGTCACAGCTAATAGTTGCGTGTAGGGTATTAATAAACAAGTAGGAAGAGACAGCTAAATTATAGCCCTTTTATGGTGGGTTGCTCTTCCCAATCTCAGACTTCTCTATCTTCCCAGCAGAAGGAAGCCAGCTATGGCTCAAAAACATTATCTGAGCAATAGACTTCATTTATAGATGATAATTCATTTGGTCTTTTCCGTTACTTACAGCAAATTCAGCTGTAAACTATGTTCTTAACTGAGCTAATGGTCTGAAAACGAATAATAGAACATTATAGACATTAAGACACCTACGCATAATTACAGACCAAAGATTATTAATGTACTGTTCTTATTTTCTTTAACCAGCAGCATCACTCAGTCTGGGGCTTAGCATTCCAAAGTAGGGCGTGGAAAAAAAGCAACAACTCAGGAAGAATGTCAGCTCTCTACTTGCAAATTTAAAAATACTGATTGTCCTGGTTTCGGCAGGGATAGAGTTAATTTCCTTTCTAGTAGCTGGTACAGTGTTTTGGATTTAGGATGAGAACAAAGTTGATAATGCACCGATGTTTTAGTTGTTGCTAGGTAATGCTTACACTAGCCAAGGACTTTTTAGTTTCCCATGCTCTACTGACTGAGAAGGCTGGAGGTGCACAAGAAGCTGGGAGGGGGCACAGCCAAACTGGCCAAAGGGACATTCCATACCATGGGATGTCATGCTCAGTACATAAACTGGGGAAAGCTGGCCGGGGGGGCCGCTGCTCGGGGACTGGCTGGGCATCGGTCGGCGGGTGGTGAGCAATTGTACTGTGCATCACTTGCTTTGTGTACTGTTATTATTATCATATTATTATTATTATCATTTTATTTCAATTATTAAACTGTTTTTTATCTCAACCCACGAGTTTTTCTCACTTGTGCTCTTCCAATTCTCTCCCCCATCCCACTGGGTGGGGGGGAGTGAGCGAGCGGCTGCGTGGTGCTTAGTTGCCGACTGAGATTAAACCATGACACTGATATTGGTTAAAAGAGAACACCTTGGTCTCTACACAGCTGTGTGGGTACAGGGAGAATGGAGGCTGAAAAAAGTATCAGCAAACACAGTCTTCAAGAACCGCTGTCATCACATCAGCAATGTGGTGGCAGTGGTTAAACCCGAGTTGTTTCTTGGTGGTTGTTATCCCACGAACCAGATAGAAGTTCAGCGAGCGTTTCTCTGACTAGTTCATTTGAGTCCTTTACCATTCAAATAGAGACTTAGAAACCCACTTTTTAAAATAGTTCCTATGGAAAGTACATGTGTCATACACGTTGAACGTATGTGCTCCCTCGCTATCCAGATGGTATGATGAAAGCAGATACACCCTTTACTCTTCCTGCACACTCAAAATACTCAAAAGATGCTGTAATAGCCACCTCTCTTCTGTGGGTTAAGTAGTTTCCCCATATACATGTTCTCCAGTGTGGAGAAGGATTAGAAATGTCTCCTTCCACAGATGTCTGACAGCAACATCTCAGTTGCATAGGAACAGAAAATGGAAATATCCTTCCCTTGTAACAATTATGTGAAGTGGAGTATGTTTTGTTGGTTTTTTTTTTATTGGCATCCCTCTAGTCCTTTCTTTGTACTGAACGCAAAGGATCTGAAAATAGAGGTTTGTGCAGCTATATTCAGAAATCTATTGTGCTACTATTATTCCTTTGTTAATTGAAGCATAGTGGGAATAGCTGGAGACTGACCGTGTTTCTTAGCGCCTGTAGTTAGCTAGACCTTGTGCAATACTAAAGTGATAAAGCATAGAAGACTGAAAGCTGCCCTTAAGCACCTGTTTGATGTTTTCTTCTTCTGGGCACTCCTTTTTGTCAGCTCTTGCTGCTGTTCTGGAATATACCTTCTCATGTCTATTGTATGTGCATTGAGCTTGCGATCTGTTAAGCTGTCAACAATCAGTGTTAATAGCTACCTTGAATAATAGTGCCTCCATTCAAATGCATCCAGAAATCTCATACAGAGGGTCTAGAAAAATCTTGCTAAGCCTTTAACCTATTTGCTATGTGTTGCTCACTTGAAATTTTTAGCTTTCAAACGTAGATGAAATTAATTTCATGAGTGGTACTTTAGATAACTATAGTCCAAAGAGGAATTGAACAGAGCACCTTTTACATAAGCTGAAGGAGATGAGGAAGCCGTCCATTAAGAGGTTGTTAAAGAGCTTCCCTCATTGCCATCACCCCTTCCAAACTGGGGTGAATGTAGAGCACAGACTACCAGTTCCTACTTTCTTCCTGTTTTCCAACTATAACCCTCCATTTCACAGATGTTTTGTTTATGTATTCCAATATATGAGGAAGAGGAGACATCCCTAGTCCATTAGAAGCTCTATGTGTGTTTGTTTGATATGTAGTTTCCTAAAGACAAAGTGCAGCGTGGTGATAAGCATTTCTGAACAGAAGACGACATCTAGATTTACGGACACTGATCCTTTTTCAGGCTTGACATTTGAAAAGAACACCCTTATTTTACATTTGTATGCTCAAACATCTTAAACCAACTTATTGGGAGGCTGAGCACTTCTAGCTGTCTGCATCTCCGAAGCCCTGTGCAAACATTAACTAATGAATCCTCAAAGGACATATGTGAGGCTGGTAGAAAAGGTCACTAGTTAATGAAGTGACTTTTCCAAAGCTGTACAATGAGTCAGTGGGGGAGCTCAGAAGTTTGTTCGTTTCTGTTTGAAACCCTGCGCTTTATCCCAATGACTCTTAATCCCAGGCTAATTCATGTGGTAAATGAAGTCCTCAGGCCCATGGATAAACTCCAGTGACTGACATCTCCTCACCGGGAGACGGCCGGGGCAGCCTCTGCGCTGGTCAGTGCCAGGAGGTGTTTTGGTGGTCACATTCTGTAGGGCCAAACATAGAAGGAAGTAGAGAAATAACTTCACTTTTCCACTCTACCTTTCCTCTGTGGAAAGTTGAAAGCACTGCTGGTGTTCCCTTGCACGGCTATTTATTGTCTTATAGATCTACTAGAGCTTGACTCCAGGTAGTGCCCAAACTCTGAAGCTCTTCTGTGCCTTCTCCAAGCCCTACTTGTTTGAGAGGTGGAAGGAGCTCCTTCTGCTGTTCTTCAGGCAGCATGTATGCCTAGTTTGGCTTCCAGATTTTTTTTTCTGGGGAAAGCAGAACCACAGACAGGGCTGCAGCATCAGGAGGATTCAGGCTTTGCTTTGTAGGCAAACACTGATAGGAGCTGGTAGCTGAAGGATTAGAGGACCTTCCACTGGGATTTGGCAGAAGCTCAGGTGCCTTGTCTGTAATGGTAGGTCTTCTGCTTACTTTTTCAGGCTATACTGACATTGCTTTTTGCCTGACCAGGAGTTCTGAAATGATCTTTGTCTTTTCTGGTGTTTTTCCAGCAAGCGGCTCCTCTGTGATGTGGTGATTGTGGCCGAAACTGTGGAGATGGAAGCCCACCGCGTGGTCCTTGCGGCCTGCAGCCCTTATTTTTGTGCGATGTTTACAGGTACTTTTCTTGACACCAGACACTGTACTCGTGTTGAGCGGGCCATTGCAAACCCAGAGGCTTCTGGTTGTGTCTCCAGCAGGAGCTGCAGCAGAGGCAGTAGGCATGGCCTGCGGGGAAAGGGTTTCCTTGAGAGAAGAAGTACAGTTAGGTCTGCAGTTTGCTACACTTGATGGATGATGCTGGTCATCCTTGACTATTTCCTTGAGGCACAGTATATGGGTATGGGGTGGTTGTACGGGTGTGGGGTGAGTGGGTAGCATGTGAGTCACAGGAAGGTTACTATGAGGTTTGGCTCACTGCTTTTTGGGTTGTTTTTTTTTCCCCCCCTTAACAAGACCTTGGGTCATGAAAACACATCATTAACATCAAGCATGTGTGCAGTGCCCTAAATGTTCATGGTGCACATCAAAGAAGTTGCTGGCACAGGCGTTGTAATTTCAAGGCTCAGCCCTGCCGATGCTGATTTGCAGTCATGGATGTTTAGTCTCCCTTGGCACTTTTTGCTGCTGCCCAAAATAACACCGTTGTTCTCTCGATCCCAGTGTGTTTCAGCAGCCCTGTCTTTTTGCAGGGTGCGTTACTGCAGTTCGGTATATTTTGGTAATGGCAGATGCAACCTTGGTGTGAAGGAAAGAGGAGGACAAAATTCTTGCTCTGATCTCCTGATCCCTATAGCATGGGCCCTTCGGAGGCTGTGCCCAGGTGGGGCAGCAAAAAAAGCCGTGACAATCCCAAGGCAAGGGATTGGCCAATTTATTTAAGTCATTCTAGTAAAATTTGTCTGGTCAGGAGCTGCTGAGCTTCCTTTCCTTTTTGTTGCTGTCCTTTCCAGGATAGAAACTGACTTAACCAAATACAAAGAAAATGATTGTATGCTCCAGGGAATGGTTGTCACCATCCCTCAGCATCAGCATAAATGAGGTTTGGGGGTTTTGCTCCTGTTTCATGTTCCTCTGCCTGTGGTCTAGGGGTTGCTTCTTCCTTTTAAAAGCCTTGGGTTTAGACCTGCTTTTATTTGCTTTACTGGAAGCAGAACACAGCATTTCTCAGGAAAAAGCTTGTCATTTGGGAAGCTTTTTTTCCCTTCTGTAATGGAGGGAGGGGAAAAAAACCTCAGGTGTAAACAGATGTCTGAATGTGAGATGAGATGTGAGGTTCACTATGATGGCTTTATCAGTGTCGTGAGCTAAGGTGGAGAGGATTTGTGCTTTCTAGGGCACTGGCACTGCATGGTGGAAGTGGGTGTTGGCCGTGGTGGCGAGGCAGAGGAGCAAACCCTGCTCAGAGGCAACCGTTTGCGCAGGGCACCTCGGGGAGGACTTGTGATGCTCGTTCCTGACGAGAAGTTTAAAAAAGAAAAAATATTGGAAAGACCTTATGACCCTTAGAGGTCACCTGAGCGGGAAGGTGGTGGCGCGGGACTGCTAATGTTTCCATGCAGGAATTCTCCAGGCCGTGTAATCCCTCGTGCCACGAGTTAAACAGTAATCAGCTAACCGCTGTCATGTGGCTGGCTCGGCAGCTCCTCTGAGCTGGGTGACAGCCCGGGCGGCCGGTCCCCTCCCCCTGACACATCCCTGGGGGCAGTGGGTCAGGCAAAGACCGGTTCTCCCTTTGCTTTCGGTCTAGCTGCTCCCAAATTTCTAGGGTCCGGATCTCCCTTTTGCAAAGACTGAGTGCATGATCTTCTTCGCTCTGTGTGGTGGTTCACTCTCTGGAGGGAGACATTTTAAAATCACAGCTTGAACATTAGTTGGTTGTTGAGGCTTGTTTTTTTTGCATTGCACATCAGCAATGCAACCCAATGGCTTGGGGGCAGCTGAGGGGTGCTGTAGCTGTGCACTGAGAAGCCTCTCTGGAGTGCAGTATGTAGGAAGCAGGGCAAGCTGCTGTGCTGGGTAAACAAGGCACCGCGAGCTGCTGCAGTTTTGACTGGAGTTTATCTTGGGACAAAGCAGGAGAGCTCTGCTCTCTCCCTGCCCTCATGAGCAGAGGGGAGTGGAGAAAGCACCGCTGGGTGTTGAGCTTGATGCATGAAGGCCTTGCCTTCACGAGGGGCTGGTGTCTGCAAAGTCTGTCCCCTAAAGAGGGTCTGCTTGGAGTCACACCGCCTGTTTTACCTGCCTTTGCTCCCTCCTATCCTGTCCCTCATGTCTGCCTGACCGCAGTGGTGCGGGTATGGGGTCTGTGCAGTGCCTCATGCAGGGCAGCCCTTTCTCAACGCAGCCCTTATGTATGAGTGATGATGCTAGTGCTTTGAATTATTCTGTAATTAAGGTATCAGGTAAGGCTCGAGTCTGACTTATGAAAGACATCCTAGGGGTTGGGTTTTGTGGGCTTTAAGGTGTGGATTTTTTTCTGAAGGGATGTGGGATGAGATGCCTTAATTGACCCACCATTTGGCTGCCATGCTTTAGAGGCTGTGTTTGCCTTGGGTCTGTGCTTGGAGGAGGGGGCAGCTTGTTGCCTGCTCTTGGTCTGCACCAACCCCTGCCTTGGTTTGCTTGTGGTGTCTTCAGGTTCTTCCTCGCTCTGCAGCGTTAGAGACATGTCCAGAGCAGCACCCTCTGGCAAGTGGCAGGAACTCGATCACGCCGGCGTGGCTGGAGGGGTCGGATCCCATCCGACCGTGGGGCACAGCACACGAGACTCCCCTTTCTCGTTGTGTGCTGGGCTGTTACCAGAGCAGAGGCAGCGGAGGCTGTTAGTATGCAGGGCTGGCAGCTTGCTGGTGGGTGTGGAAGCCCACACAGCCTTTATTTTTGTTGCCTGTGTCACGTGAACGCCACAAAGACAGATGATGTTATCGGATCGGTCCCTCCAAGCTATTCCTCCATCGATCTCCGGGTGCGTGTGTCTGAGCCTCCCCTCTGCCCTGTGGGTCCCGGCGAGCGCTGCAGGGCTCCGGCTGCTCCACTTGCCCCCCTCGCTGTGCAGGTGGGATTTGGCTGGGTGCTCCTTACAGGCACCTCCAGCTCCACGTAGGCTGACGGGGACTGGCCTGTTCTCAGAAGCCCCCTCTCATCTCTGGAGACTTTTTTTTTGGGGGGGAGGAAGTGTATGAAGGAGATAACATTTATTTTGTCAATTAAAAAGTCCTACCTGCTTTGAAGGCCTCCCAAATGTAGGTCATTTATCCCTTTGTACTTGTACATTTGTATTCATGGGCTTCTCTGAATAACATTTTATTACTTAATTTTAAAAATTGAATTTGGGGCAAATATTATTTCAGTCTACGTTTCCCTTGGGACGTTGGCTCTTCTGATACTTACGGTCTGACCCCATTCCTGTTATTTACCTCCTTGTTGGCATAAGTGAAGTCTGCAAAGTTCAATTTATAGGATCCAGATTTTGCTCAGGCTTGGACCCCCTTTAGCATCTGACTCTGTGCTGTGCACTTAATGTGCCTGGCCACATCTTATCGCACGCTGTACAGAGATGTAGGCTGTAATTACTTCTCCCATAGGCTGCAGGAACTATTTTTCCTCTTAATCCCACAGCAGTACTGAGTCACCGGATTTCTTAGAGTAGTGATTATTCATGCCCAGGTTTAAGAACTGACATTTCTTCACGCTCTCCTTTGTTTAGCTTTGTTTTTTCACTTACCGTTTTCTTTCCATTTGGGAGTTTGTTCTTTCTTTTCTGTGGTTCCTCAGGATCTTGGTGATTAAAACCTGGGTGAGGTCACTGTGTGCGTGGATGGTGGAAGGGCCCCGGGGAGTCCTTTCTCCTCCTCCCCACAGCATGCTTTTGTTCCTGTGACCTGCTCCTGTTACGCAGGCATGGGGTGTGCGCATGGTGCCTGCACAGCGTTGGCCACAACAGCAATGGGGAAGGTGCACATAAAACACCGGTTCACGTATAGCCTCTTACACAGATACGGGTTTTACTTGTATATCCGTAGGGGAAGTTATTGCTCTAGTTCTGCATGTTTGTGTTTGTCTTTTTTTTAAGTTATGTGTTTGGGGAAAGGATACGGTTTGGATCCAAAGGCTGCCTTGCCTCTGAGGTGTGAGGTTGGGAAGGTGAGAGATGAGAAATACAGCTTTCTGCACAGATGCTTTGCATAAGGTGTAACTGTGTGGACAGGTTACAACAGGGTAATTTAGGAGAGAAGCTTGCAGCGCACTGGGTGTAACTGCTGGCATGTGTGCTTGTTTTCCTCAGCAGGTTTCAGGTTCTTTCTAAAGAAAGAGAGTAATGCTGCCTTGCTTTTATTGTAGGGTATACCACAAAGCACCCTAACTTAGCTGTTGCAACGTACTCATCTACCCATATATATGTATGTATATATATAAAATTTAAAAAATATTTTTAATAAATATATAAAATATATTTTTTAAAAAGCCCTCTGAAGACTTGTGCACAGTCTCTTTGAGTTTGTCCCTGTGCTGAGACACGGTTTTGAGGGTCTAACTGGGTTGTGGGGTTTTTTTTTAGCCCCTATATGTGTTTGAATGCAGGTGAACCATAGCAGGTTCTTTCCTAGCAAGAAATTGAGCTTGTTGCATTTATTGACTTCTTTTATTTTACCCTAGTGTCTTCAAATGTTGAGATGTTTTTTAGGTGGCATTAGGAAGCTTCTGGGAATCTCACTGGTTGTCCTTCGATGGTCAGGGATATTGCCAGGGCAGTCTTTTAGTCAGATACCAGGAGGATGTGCTGGATGTATGGGGAGCAATAAGGGCCTGCAATAAGGTCCTGCAAAGCAAACTCTAACTGTCCTTTTGAAATTAATTTCAGGAGACATGTCTGAAAGTAAAGCCAAGAAGATTGAGATAAAAGACGTTGATGGGCAGACCCTGAGGAAGCTGATTGATTACATCTACACTGCTGAGATCGAGGTCACGGAAGAGAATGTGCAGGTAGGTCTGGTTCAGTGGCTCCTGTGGAGACCCAAGTAAAAAGCTTGAAACTCAAAGGCACAGGTCCTTCAGGGGTGAGTGATCTCTTCAGGCTGTAGAAAGTAAAAGGTTGAGCTTGAAAAGAGCTACTTCCAGCCTCTGTTTAGTCTTGAGGCACTTTGCTGCTTTCCACATGCTTAAGTCATGTTGCATTTAGCTTTTGTGTTGAGCTCTTATAACGAGAGTAGGCATTTGCCTTCCAAGAAGCTGTGCTGACTTGTGGGTCAGTCTGTCGAAGGTCAAAATAGACTCAAACAAGCAGTGAGTCAAATGCTGTTTTAAGGTCATGGTCGAGGAATCTGGCTGTTAGATTTTAAATTCTTCTGGGTAGTTTGAGTTGTTTCGCAGAGCTTTGAGTGGAATATATTGTTCAAATGAGGGCATTCTTCCTCTTTTTGTGTGTGCGCGCTCCATCTTGAAGTTCTTTGAGGTAAATATTTGTCTAGAAGTGAAAAGAGTAATTGAAAGGCAGCCTACAGGTAAAGTGGGATGCTCAGGAAGAGAGCGTTTCACTGTGTCACGTGGCTGTGGCTGCTGGTAAAGCTTTTTCTTTGACTCTATTTGTATTTGTGGTAAGAAAACGTCTGTGCACTTAGCCACTGATTTCTGGAAGGGACGCTGGGAGCTCGTGTGTGAATGTGCTTTTTGGTTGGTCTCCGTTTTTGTTTGCAAGTGGCACTTTAGTTTGTCTTCCTGTCTGTGACTTGGATGCTGGCAGGGTAACAAGTCTGGGTCTGTGATGCTGGAGAGAGAGGGGCGATGCTGCTGCATGCTTTATGTTGACCTAATTAAGATGGCAAAATTAGACTGGTTCTGCTTGAAATGAGGTTCTTGCTGTGGATGGGACATGCTCTTCTGCTCCAGTCCCTCAGGGAGGGCGCAGGTTTTTGCTGTCCTGAGGCATATTGCTCTTCCTGCAGGAACTTGGACAAAACTCTGAGCCACGTCCACTTTGCAGTCTAAGCCCTGTGCCATCCTTCATGACCTAAGTCTGTGGGTGCCTTTTCTTGCCCCTTCTGCCCTCCAGTTTTACAAACTTGACTTTCTGGCATGCTCTCAACCTGGCAGTTGTCACATTGGTAGGAGTGTGGACCCTGGTTGCCCTATGATGAGGCTGAAGACCAGCAGCGAGGAGACCTTCAAGGTGCCGTTACAGCAAAGAAGCTGAGGCTCAGACCCAACTGTGGGTCGCTTGGGCTAGCTGTCTGCTGCATAGCACGTGCTTAATTACGGTGTATAGTCAGGGTCATAAGGAGCTGAGATACAACATTATTTCAGTGGGGAACTGGGGGGGAGTTCCTTGGACCTCTGGGATCTTCCATTGCTGGAGGAAAAATGACATTCTTCAGTGGGGAACTGGGGGGGGGGAGTTCCTTGGACCTCTGGAATCTTCCATTGCTGGAGGAAAAATGACATTTACACAGTGTCAAGCTGGTCCCTCTTCCTGCGGGAAATGTAAAGACTATATCCACGTGCTTTCTCAAACGTATGCTTTCCTTCCATGCTGCTGGTTGTTAGGTGGCCCAGAAGCACTGACTCGGCACGTGGGACGTGCGAAGCTCGGGATACCATCTGGTGTGCTGGCCCCAGTCAGTCTGCATTGAATGAAGCTTGCTTGAAATGACTACGCGTGCTCTGGCTGTTTTCCCGTGGGAGCATTTCGGTGCTCGAGTACAGCTGCACCTGGGTATAAGCAGTGTTGTGGGAGCTGGAGCAGGCTGGAGAGCCAGCTCAGTCCTGCACTGCGTTGGCAGCATAGACCTGCCCAGAAGGTCTGTGAAGAAGTCCAGATGTTACCTTTTCTGAGCAAGCGGAATGCTATCTTTTTCAGTAAAACCTAACCAAAGCCTGCCTTCTGATGGCCTAGGGATTACAAAGAGTTAACATGAGAGCCCTGTCTATATTTTGGCTCCCATCTCTCAGACAGTAGGATCAAAAAAATATAAGTTTGGTGAATACTAAAGTTTGGACATTAAGTTTTTTCCCAATCTAATAAAGCAGGTCCATTTTCTACATGATTTATTTAAATAACCACCCTGTGAATAACTCTTTAGGCTGGAGGTAAATTAATTCAGGGGAGCTAAGAAATGAAGCTGATCTAAAGCAAGATTAACTGACTAGTTTAAATTTTATTATGTGTTAAAAACATCCACGTTGAAAATGTTTTATGGAATTTATTATCATTTTGTGATGAAACCAAGAGAAAGTTTAAAGAGAAATTTCAGTCCTGTCTCTGGGTGTTTCACGCCTGAGCAGAATGCCATAAATAGGTTAATATTCACCTGCAGCCACAGGAAGAAGAGTTTACAGAAAAGAACGTTCTGTGATTCGTTGGAAAGGTTCACATCAGTGAAGGCAAACAACATGAACAACAAAATACTAAGCTTCTTGTAGTCTCTGGTTTGGGTTAGCAATGTCAGTCTTGGGAAGAAATGAGCAGGTTTGGTTCCTTACGTTGTCACATCCTCCTGCTGCACAGCTTTCTGTCAGCCATCCAGCTGGAAGGATGCCTCGGTAGTGCTGGTCTGCGTTGCTTCAGCAATGTTCCTTCGTTGTCTTGCTTCTGAGGATGGCAAGAATTTCTTTTCCCAGCAGGTATCTCCTGAGATCTCCTATTGCTGTGTCATGAGCTCTGATTTTCTAGCAGGGTGAGGGTGCGTTTTAAAGGGGTTTTGTGCAGTTTGACACACAGTTTTTCAGACTTCCTCGACAGCTGGAAGAAGCAATTTCTGGGTATAGGTGCCAGGTAATTTCATTGTAGAAACTACAAGAAAGAAGATTGCTGAATGGCATTAACTGCACAGATGCAGCCAAGCTACCAAAACATGTGAATAAATGAAAAAAAAAGTTCTTGTCAGTGAGCAAAATAAAATGAGAGCAGAATTGCAATGGGAGAAAGATGAGCAGCAAAAGTAACATGGGAGTGCAGGAATGAGTGTTCCCAAGTGTGCTCAAATGCTGAGCGGTGCCCAGCACTTCACAACAACAAGCCTTTTTACAGTATTTTTGTTGTTTCTTTTCTGATAGAAACCTGTCTCTTTTTGCTTTTATAGCCTGGTATGGTGTTCAGGAAGTGAGACTGTGTTTTTCCAAGCACGTATTTTTGTAGCTGATTGTCATTTCATTGCACAAAGTGGTGTTTGGGTTTTTTAAGTAAGGAAGGATGTGTGTACAAGGGGCCAAGCCCGTACAGTCAGTTCCAGTCATCGTCTATACGTAGTGAATTACTGGGGGGGAAAAGGGATTTTCAGTCCACCCTAGCTCCATGAGGGAGAGCACTGAGCCCATGTGGGAGCGAATACTCTCTTCAAATCCATTGGGGGTACGTTGGTGAGAATTGCCCCGACAAATGCAGTCCTGCTTTATGCACTGGAACCTCATTTTTAGAGTGAGATTTCAAGGCAATATAGATGCAGTAGTAGGAAGGCTCAGGGATGACGGATGATAGAGAGGCTTCTGTGCCGAGCAGTGTATTGCCTCTGAACAGACATTTGGGATTTAGCCTCCCACTTGTTTGGAAGGCATGGAGCAAGGAAGGATTTCTGTCTTCATTGCAGTCATGTTGTAGTCTCAGGAAGATCCATCCTGGGATTTCTGTCTCCACTGTCTTCTGTTGTTCCTTTTTTGTTGCACCCCACATCACGGTTAGTTGTAAAGACATCTGATTCATATGCATGACAAAAATATCTCATTCATTTGAAGGTGGAGCTTGATAAATTTATTTGAAAGAAAGTTGTGCTGTACAGTTTCTGTAAAAGTGAGGAAAACTAAAGTGAGCGACTTGAGGAAGTTCACAGATGCTCACGTGCAGCCCTGGTTGGCTTCAATGGAAACCACATGCACGTGTCAAACAGAGCACAGGCCCTGCTGCGCCGTACCTGTACGGAGTAGCTGGCTGTTTTAACATATCAGTTCCTTGAATTTTTCAGTTAGGTCTTGATTTTGCAGCTGAACTGGCTGCATTGCTGCTTGCTTTCCAACACTCATATCAAACCTGCCAGCTCAGTGAAGAGTGATGGGAGCAAAGTCCAGCGATGGAGAAGACGCTCAACATGGTGTCCTTGAGTAGAGCTGAATGAAGAGGAGATTTGGGAGGAGGCTTGTCGTTCTCCTAGGCGGTCCTGTGAAGACACCTGGACCTCTGGCTGTAGACAGTGAATACAGTCCCACTTCAGTGTGTCCCACCCATCCTTACTGATGGCACTTAATTACTTGCAGGCATCCTGAGAACTACCCTCCCAATTAAGACAGACATTACCATTACGGTTGTAATGGTTCCCCAGCAAAAGTCCTGATTAACCTGATTTCATACATAAATTCTTAGGAATGAGGTGCAGTGTACCATGTGTGTGGTGTGTCCTTGTATACTACCACGGTTCGAGATATGGCTCATATAGAAAGAAGAGCGAAGAGGTGTCTGGAAATCAGCTGTCTGGAGGAAATAGATGTTGAAACTGTCAGCTTTGCAGACATAATAATTGTAATAAAAAATGGCTTGAGAAAGGAGGAAAAAAGCTTTGCTAGAAGCTGTAGTATTTCCTTTTCAGAAGTGTGCTTTTGCACCTCAGCTTTCCCTAGGGACTTAGGACTTCACAACAAAGGAAGGAGAGTATCTGTGGCAGATGCAGTTTTGATGATAAAGGGATGATAAGTGGGTCAGTTCATCTCCCTTCCCCCTGTTCACTCCAAAAGCTGCAACGACAGTAGGTGCAGGCCCAGAGTGGGGCAGAGAGTCTTTCAGCTCAACTTCAGGAGATGCAATAAATCAGGGCTATCTTCCTCCCTGGAGCAAAAGCTGCTTGCCTTGCATCGCCCTCCTGGAGAGCTGGAGAGCCCGGGTCAACAGCCGGGCTGACTTCTCTGGGGTGTTACAGCAGCTGAGTTGGGACCTAAACCATCCCTAGGCCTACGGAAAGTCTTTTAGATTGGACTGGCCCAATAGAAAGGTGAGGAGAAACTTGTGGATGTGGCACCAGAGGACTATGCTGCTTCTGATGGATGTGTCTCCACATTTTTGTCCCACTGTTTAACCCAGGGAGGGTGTAGCTGTTCTGTGTGGTGAAGTTGGAGAAGGTAGATCAGGAGGGAAGTTGCCAGCTGCTCCCCTGTTTTCTCTCTCACCTCTATATCCCTTCTTCTTACGGCTGCTCCTGGAGAGGTTTTGTGGCTCTCTGACCCTGCTACACATGTCTCTGCCTTGGCTGTTTCACCCCAGGTAGAACATTTAAGTAGAAGCACCGTTGTTCACCCTCAGCACTGCCTGGTAGCGGCTGGGGAGTGATAAAGCCTAATTGCCTTCCTAACACTGGAAAGCCACATTACAGGAATGTAATTTTATCTCCGTTACTTGTGCAGTTTTAGAGCTGTTCAGTTAAAACCAAGTGTTTAACCTGCCTTGCAAATGCAAGATCTGCGTGTTTCTCTGGTCACAGATTCCCCTGGGAGGGTGCTTGGGAGCTGTCTCCCTGTTAGGGCAGATGTGCAGTCCCAGCTGTGGCCCTAGATGTGCTGTTCAAGATTACAGCCAGTACCCTTATGTGGCTTCCAATTTGACTGCATTGTTAAAGCGGCTTATAAGCTTTAATATATCCCCTGCCTTGGGGAAATGCTCCTCTCCCAGTTTTGCAGAGGAAGAATGGCGTAGATTAACTCTTAGCCAAGGTTACCTAGAAGGCTGTGCCAGAGTAGGGAGCTAACCCCAGTCTCTGAAGTCCAGCATTAACGCCCTGCCTGTTGAATGAACCTTATAGCCAAAAGTGCTCTGTGTTGCTGAAAGATGTTTCTAGTTCAGAGACATCAAAGGTTTATGAAAGTATTTAATTGTACAGGCAATGTTCTGTAAAACCTGAGATAGGTACAGAGCCTGCAGAGTGAGAGAGCACAGCTGGTGAACTAGATGGTTATGGGGGGTACGTGTGTGTGTGTGCGTATATATATATACACACTCCCCACCCCCCCCATAGATGAGGTTCTGGACATAATTTATTTAGCAAAGAAGTCAGTCTCAGTAGTAATAGCAGATAATTTTGACATAGTTTCAAAAGACAATTGGATTTTGGTATGGAGGCTGATCTGGTAGGGAAGCCAGCTCTCTCTAAATCATTCACAATGGTTGGAGTTTAAATATTAAAAGCCAAATCCAGACCCAGCGTATATATTATACACACTCCCCACCCCCCCCATAGATGAGGTTCTGGACATAATTTATTTAGCAAAGAAGTCAGTCTCAGTAGTAATAGCAGATAATTTTGACATAGTTTCAAAAGACAATTGGATTTTGGTATGGAGGCTGATCTGGTAGGGAAGCCAGCTCTCTCTAAATCATTCACAATGGTTGGAGTTTAAATATTAAAAGCCAAATCCAGACCCAAGTGAGTAACTTGCCTGGATATTAATGGGGTTGCAGTTTGGTCCTGCTGCATGTTTAGGCAGGGCATTTCCTCTTGTTATTTCTAAAGGAAACAGACTTTGTGCTAGCGGATATCCTTTGCTTGCTTTTCGCCTTCCCTGGTAAAAACAAGATGAGTGGTGAGACGTTCAGCTGGGAAATAAGAAAGAGAAAATCCACTCATCTCTTGATAGGCTATTTATATCCTACTTCTAAAAAGTATTATATGATAATGCTCCTTTTCCAATAACTGCAGTGGCGTAAGGCTCCTTCTACGCTGCCCTGTCAAGCTAGCACGAGGCTGTAATAGCAGTACTAGGGTGCCCAGGGGGCTGTAGCATGTGGGTGTTAGTGATGGTAGTGAGGAGCCTCTGTTTTAGTGGCAATATCCCAAAACACTCCAGGTAAGCAGCCCACCTGCATTTGCAGACACGTCTGCTGGATAGATGTTGGGGTGCATGGAGGAAGCTCTGGCTTGTATATGGCCAGAGATGGTTTTCGGAGAGTCTGACTTCTTTACCCACAGCCCTTATGCAAGTCAGGTGCTTGCCTTTCTGCTGATAAAAGGAGATCATTCAGCTAGATAGAAAATGGTTCACGGCTAGGTTTCAGAAATGCGAGAGCATTGCTATCTTGATTTAATCAAAACCACAAACTAATCTCCTCCCAGCATCAAGAGGCTTGGGCCAAAACGGGCTCCCGGGTTAACCGATTTCTTTTTTTCATTGTTGCCTGTTGGGGTGGCTGCTTGGCAGCAGTCAGACACTGTACAGCTGGGCTGGAGCTGGAATGCATCAGTGGCTTAGAAAAGACCCGGGGCAGGTTGTGAGTGTCCTGCCCCAATGTGGAACGGGACTGTGGGGGCAGGCAGGCAGGGACAGGGAAGGGAAGGGACGTTTTTTTCCCTTCCCTGCCACCGAGGTCCAGGGAGGTGATTGCAGTTAACTTGTTTGTTTTGTTTAACAGCCGCTTCGGGTTTTTTTTTTTTTGAGTCAGAAATAATTTTCCAGAAATCTGTGCTCAGATGGTGAGCACAGATGCCCGGTTGGAAGGACATGTGTGAAGCAGCCAGAGCTATGGAAGAGCTGGGATAAGACACGTCTGCAGTCGCTGGATGACACAAGAAAGGAAGTAGCTGATGTCACGGGCTGTAACATCCCGACTTTATTTTCTACTTCCTGTCCCACTCACTGGCCTCAAAGGTGGTTTTTCCAGCAGATGTCACATTCCTGATCCAATTCTGTCTCCCTTTTCTGTACTTAGTTTTGTAGATACAAAGCAGTACCTCATTTTCAGATGCAGTCATGAACCACAAGTGTCCACAGCATTTTGCGTGGGTGAAAATGATGGCCATTGATTTGAATAGTTGGCCCCATCTTTCCTGAGAGTCTTGCTGTCACCAAAACCCGCTTGAGCTTCTGTGAACTCCATCTCTACCATGGCAGTTTGGGCACCCTGCTCACAAGCCAATATGGTTTTCTTGGAAATAAGAAAGTTCAAGGCTTTGAGGTTTTGAGGGAGATGGAGTGCTGGGCTGCTATGGGCTTTGAATATGATGGTAATGCATGTAGATAACATAAAGCTCTTCGGGGCGGGGAAAAAAAAATAAATCTGTGTGCAGGACCTACCTGCAACAAAGCCAGAAATTCGGGTGCATCCGTGGTTGCTTGCGTTTTGTCCTCCCTTTACCTGCCTTGAGGTCTTTCGTGGGAGAAAAGCTCTGCTCTTAGCCCAGCATGGGATAGCTGTTTCCATCTCTTAGAGCACGGACGGGGATCTTCTGCATACACATAGTGCTAAATTTTTAACCTTCCTTCTTGTTCCTCACAGGAACGTGTCCCTGTCTGAAGGGGAATTACATGTAATTTGTGCAAGCTATGAATCAAACTTTCTTTGTTGCTAACTCTTAACTCCCCTTTCTTGCCTTTGCAGGTTTTGTTGCCAGCTGCTAGTTTATTGCAATTGATGGATGTTAGAAAAAACTGCTGTGACTTTCTTCAGTCCCAGCTGCATCCCACAAACTGCCTTGGAATCCGAGCTTTTGCCGATGTGCACGCGTGTACCGAACTGCTGCAGCAGGCAAATGCCTATGCAGGTGAGGGAAGGGTTGTCTGTTTGTCGAGTTAAACCTGCTTCCAAGTACAGCGACTTACAGGTTGAGCAAGATCAGCACATCCTGGTTGGTCTCTTCGTGCTTCTGGTATTAGAACAGGAAAGGGAGTACTTTATTGGATTGTAGACTTGTATCTTTCTGTGATGCTGCGAATTGTGAAATGTGGTTTGGTCACAGGGGAACACCTAAGGAGGTAAAAAAAGCTGATCCTCTGGATCCCAGCCCACAAAATAGTTCCTTAGTATGTTCCTAGTAAGCTCTTTGGCTGCCTGTTCAACAGCACAGTGTTGGCGTGCTGGCGTCCTCGCCGCGTATGCTGCCCCGTGAAAGCAGTAGGCAATGCTGGGGATTTGTGTGTTCTAGGAATAAATGGCACCAGGCAAAATTAAATCTTGTGGGTGGGAGTGGGAACACTCAGCTAAAATTGTCATGCAGTTTGATCCTCTGATCTGTGGAGCAATGGCCACTTACCCCAAGGGTGGATAGACTCTTGTTTCCTTGAGAGTGGATGTGTTTGGTTGCAATAAGTAGGTGCAGGCAATGGCTTTCAGCATTTCTCCTTTACGTTGTAAATGTAAAGCTGTTCCAAGCGGCCCCATGCTCTTAACTCCCCAGCACTTTCCGGTCTCCTCTAGCAGAGTTGCCCTTGACCTCTGCTTGGGAGAAGCTGGTAGTTTTCTCTACTCAGTTTGTTTTTCTGCTTTTCTGTTTATTTGTATAGGGAAAAATACACCTGCTGTCTCCCAGAGCACCTGCTCTGTCCTGCAACACTTTCCTTGGTACGGTTTTGTCCTTAACTGGACCATAAGTAGGCTCAGCGGAATAAAAATGTGCCCACCAAGTCCTCCCCTGTTCTCCTGCAAATAAAAGTAAAACCTTTTTAGCTGCTCTGGCTGTATTATCCCCTGGAGGAAAAGGTACCCTGCAAGGAATGGTTAATTGTGTAAAGGCTTGCTTGTAATATCTCATTATCCTTGCTTCTAGGCCCTGTTTAATCTTTAACCCAACAAGCAGTGCATTCACTGTATATTTATTTGGTTGTTTGGCAATTAGAAAGTCTGCTTTGTTGTTTTATTGGCCTTTGTAAGTCCCGGTTAGTACAACAGCCCATGTAATGTTAATGGAACTCCATTAATAAAAATGCCATTAAAATTCTTTTCACCATGTTGTTTATGTAACAGCGTTAAACCAAGACAGAAGTCCCCAAGCTCAAGAGTCCATGCATGCATGAGCTCAGTTACCTGAGAAGTGCTTACTTCTGGCCAATGGATAACTTTAGGAGGTGGAGGAGCCTTCTTGATGCAGGCACAAGTTACTTTATTAAAATCAGTAAATATTTTTACTTGCTTCCAAGTAATAAGAAGAGATCAAATATCTTTCTACTGCCAGATACCAGTCCAGAATGAATAGGAGATTGTGTCCAGAAGTCAGAGTGCATCCAGCTTACTGTGTGGGGAGCATTTCCTGCTTCTCAAGTATTTAAGGCCAGAAAAGTTCATTAGATCTTAGATATGATTTCCAGCGTAACAGAGTATTAAACTTTGTCCAGATACTGCTATTTTTAGTCAGAGCCTTTGGCTTAGCTGTGGTGGTTTGGTCCCAATTAGGCCAAGTAGCGGCCGTGGTTGGGGAAGCCCAAGTGCCATCTGCAGCACCAGGTTGGTGACGAGTTGTTCAGGTGAAATCTCCAAGGAGCTCCTCTCTGGAAGTTATGCCAGCTTGTGTCCCTGTGGTGCTGCTTTTTGGCAGGCAAAGTACTTTGCAGAGGTGAAAACTAGAGGCAGATCTTGCTGCGGAGGGAGCTCTTTGGATACATGAGTGTGAGCTTCTCAAAGCTGAAGGGATTAGGGCTTAAAAAAAGCTGCTTCAGATAAAGTATGAGATTCATGTTTCCGTGCTCCAGTCAAAGATAAATGGAACTTAGCAAATGGCAGGTGAGATAAAATTGGCATGATTTGTAACAAATGCTTGCAAAACTAAAATTGTCTGCAACTGGCTAGTGATGGTTTTGACCTAAAAAATCTTTTCTGGAAAGTAACTATTTCCTAGTGCCCTTTAGCTAAATGTAAAGCTCGACAGATCTGATGATCGCTTTTGGATCTGTATTGCAATTGGTGACAAGTCTCCCAGTTTGGGATTATAAGCGGTGATGTGAATTGCCGTATTTTGTTTTTCAAGTGGCTCCCAAAGTTACAGCACGGAGGGATTTGGAGGCAAAAAGGGGAAAAAAATTTGTACGGTTACAGGCTAAGTGGGAAGAGGCAAGGCTGCTGGGGAAGATGGGTGCTGAGGGTTTGGAGCAGGGGAAAGGTTAAATTTATACATTTTGAGGAAGGAATTTAAAAGTGAGATCAGCTCTCCTTCTCTCCTTCCATTTGTTTGCGTGGGATGAGGATCCCCCCTTGCCCCTCTCTCTGTGCCCCCTTGCCATGTACAGATTCAGCTGGATGCCCTGGGATCCCTCACTATTTGCTGCTGAGCATACGCACCAAACTGACTGTTTGGCTGATTCATGTGAAAGATGGGCTTTCCTTTGAATACCTACAAATATCAGGGACCCTTGCTGGAGTGTCTCATCCAGGTGTTGAGCAGATCTGGTTCTGTCTACCTTGTTGAAGTGGGCAAGAACTGAATCTTGAGGTGGCCAGGTTATTTACTACTTTAGAAAGGCACTGGCACTTTTCTCAATTGCCACTTCTAATCATATTTGTCACTGGAAGGTGCTTAGTGGCTTTGCAAAAAGTTAAGTTCCCATTTAGTGTCATTTATGAAAGTGTCTCACGGGGCTTGTGTTACCTGAAATAACATCAAATTTCTTTAACCTGCTCTGAGACTATTTTCTTTTTCTGTTCCGCCGTGCAGTTGTGGTGCATTGTGTCTCGGGTGCTCAGAGCTGTAATAATAGCAGTTCTCTGAATGCTGTAGTCCTTCCATTGACTTAAAGCATGGATTTGATTATAATTTTCTGTTCCCCCTTTTCATTTGTTGAACAGAGCAGCACTTTCCTGAGGTGATGCTAGGAGAAGAATTTCTTAGCCTTAGTCTGGACCAGGTTTGCAGTTTAATATCAAGTGACAAGCTCACAGTCTCCTCTGAAGAAAAGGTACAGTAAATTGTATAGCAACAGTGAATGTAAGAATGTTGGAATGTTTCTAGATCTTACATCGGGAACTGTTCTCATGTTATGCTCTTTAGGGGCCATTTTCCAACAGGGCTCACGTGGAAAGGAAAATTAAAAATAATGTGAATCCTAAAAACACATAATGACCTTCGCTTGCTTGTTCTTTGTAGGAAGTAATGATTCTCAGATCTGTATCTCTTCCAAAAGCCCTGGGGGACAGAACCAAATACCTTCCCTCTCTGGAAAACTAGGACCCTCCCATCTGCTGTTGGTGTAAAGCTTGTATTACCTGCCGTAAAACCTCAAAAAAAGGTGAATTTCGTTAGGCCAGGGAGGAGTATTGGCTTCTGTTGCACGTCGGACAGAACAACTAAAGGAGGCCTGCAACCAAAAAGGAAGAAAACATTTTTCTAGCATCGTCAGTGTTTTTTCTGCAACCAAAAAGAAGGAAGGAAACATTTTTCTAGCATCGTCAGTGTTTTTAATGGAAGAGGGGAAAAAAGGCACTGGTTGATGTTGTTTTGTGGTTGAAATGTTCAGCGCATCTTGTGTAGTCTGTAGTCCTGGGAAGGAGGGTGACCAGTGGTTACGGTACTTGGTGCACACCAGGTCCAGCCCCTTTCTCTGGTGTGGGCTTCTTGCGTGACCTGCAGCAGGTTTCTGGGGAGAGGTATGTGCCTCGAGTCCTTCATCTCACCTCCGAATTGTTGCTACGGGGAGATGGACGCTTGTGGGAGGCTACAGGAGAGCTTGAGGATTATGTGGCTCATAACTTCAGGACCTCTGTTGCATGCCTGCATTTTGGTGGGATGAGCCTGGACCTGGGCGTGCTTGGTGCTGCTGGTCTGTACTGAGCTGGTCAAGCTGCACATCCAGGTGTGTGCACCATCCAGCTCAGCCCCTCGGGGCTGCAGACACGCGAGTGCTTGGGCCCATACAGACCGTAATGCGTGCCAGAAAACCCGCACCATGTGAGGTGCGAATGGAGCGATGCTTCATTCAGATCCTGAGCCGGCAAACTTGGAGGCTTCGGGAGCGCGTTTCCGCAGGCATGGGGCTAGTGTGGGCATCTCGGTGGGGTGTTGCAAGGTGCCGTGCAGGCAGGGCCAAAAAGAGAAAAAACAAATGGCGTGAACTCGCGGCGGAATCGCTTTGCATGAGCCAAGCAGCCTGCAAAGGGAAGTGCAAGTTTAGTAACCAATTTTTCCAGTCCTGTGCAGCATTGTTAAAAAGCTTTTATTGGCCTTGTGCCCAGAGAAATCAAAGTACTCCCTCACTCGTCTGAGCTTTATACAATCAAAACCAGTATTTCTTTAGCTGATCGTAAAAGTTGAGAATGCAAGGCAGTGGAAGGAAATGTAAGCATAAGCTGCACGTTCAAAACAACAGATACGAATAACAGGAGAGAGGTAGAGAATGGGATTGGAATATAAACATAAAATATGTGCTGGAGTCCAAAGAAGTGCTGAAAATTGAGGACAGACTTGTAGGCTGCTGTTTTATCTTAGCTTCATGACAGAAATGTTTTCCTTTATTCTTCCTATCTGCTAATGTATGAGAGAGATATAAAAAAATAAATATGTATATATATCTAAAAGTATATATGTATGTGTATATCTATACATACACACACACATATATCTGTGTATGCATGCGCACATGTGATGGATTAAGCAGCAAGATGCTGTAAGCAGGCAAATACTTCACACATCTGAGCGCTGAACTGTCACAGCCAGATTTCACGAGAGGCTTTCTTGTTCCTGTTCTTACCGTGTCTCATACATGTTCTGCAGCCTGTGAGCCAGAGCGCTCCCATCTCTGGGTCACTGGGAAGTGTTATAGCTGAGTCCTGCCAGGGCCAGAAGGTGACGAGGCCAGGGAGGGGTGCATTGCCCTTATAATGCTTCACGGCATGTGTGCCCAAGAGGCTGTGTGTTCTCCCCTTCCTCTGCCACCCCCCAACTAATAACAATTGGCCTAATAAAATATATTCTTTATCTCCACAAATTTTGGCATACTTGCATCCCTAGGCCATCAGGACTAGAGAAATTGTCTGCTACCACAGAAGTCTATTTTAATGGTAAAATGGTGACAGCGTCTCCCTGTTATTCAAAGATTATCGTCCTTTCTCTCCCTCTCCCCCTTGCTGATGCCAGCCTCTGCAGTTGCGCAGGCCCTTTCGGCCTAAGGCAAAGGTTTATTTTGGTCCCTGCCTGCTTTTTTTGCTATAGCTGAGTACTGTGAAGAGAGTTTTATCAATGCTTTCTGTACCTGACCTAATTGGCTCTTTAATTATAACATTGTATGCAAGCAAGGAAAAACCATAAAACCCCATGTTTATTCATATTTACTAACAATGTGTGAAATGGAGGGGCTTCCAGCCCTTGAGAAAGGGCTCCTGCCAACTCAGAATGATGACGAAAGACACTTTTTAAAGGGTTGGGATTTTTGGATTGGGGATTTGAGAGAGTCCAGTAATCAACTCATCGTCTCATGCCGCTAACATGCAGTATCAGCGGATGCACGGTTTGGTCCTCGCTCCTGGGAGTATCTAACAACTGGATTTTTGGCTGAAGAGACTGGGAACACATCTGGGCTTGCTCTTTGCTTAGGTAGTGTGCAGAAATGGGATATTCCAAGCTTTTACCCTTCTACTCCATAGAGTGGGAAATCTGCTTCTCCCAAGCTCGGGACTGCTCCTACAGCCAGGCAGGTGCCAACTGCTCACTCAGCCCATGCCTCTGCTCTAAATAAAGCTGTGTGGGTAACTGCTTCGTTTCATCACACCCCAGCAGCGGGTCTTGCATGGCTGGAAAAACCCGTCTCCTGGGGGAGTGGCAGCAGCTGCTTGGGGTCTGCAGCGGGCACAGCGTGCGGAGGGAGGGCATGGCAGCAGTGGAAACAGATGTGGCCTTTAAATAGAGGTATTGCTGTCTTGGATTAAGATCCCCCCCCCCCTTCTCATAAAATTAGGAATCGGAGCCAATGGAAGGTGCTGGAATCTGATTTTTTTAAAAAATTTCTGTTATTTTTTAGAGTAGGCACAGCAGGGTAGCATCAGTGTATGCCTAACTCAGGAGTGGTCTCCGGCACCGGGGAAGAAGTTTATTCCTTGTGCACATTTACTTTACCTTCCTTTAAGACTTATTCACTGTCATCTTGGTCTGTAGCTGGGTATGCTGTTATTTTTAGAGTAGGCACAGCAGGGTAGCATCAGTGTATGCCTAACTCAGGAGTGGTCTCCGGCACCGGGGAAGAAGTTTATTCCTTGTGCACATTTACTTTACCTTCCTTTAAGACTTATTCACTGTCATCTTGGTCTGTAGCTGGGTATGTCCCAGCCCTGTGACCTGTTCTGTAGCTCAGCATTCGTGCAAAAGAGGTTAATGAAAAGCATGTTTGTTGGCTAAACATTTGCTTTATGCTCCTTCCACGCTCATTTGCAATTAAAAATCTCACAACCTAGTTTCTACTTTAAATGCCTTGTAGCCAAAGTGAAATTGTTTGTTTGTTTATTTTCATTTTAAAATACTTAAAGGTTCTGCAGTAGTTATTTTCCTCTGTGTTTGCTGGGGTTTGATTACATGGCTCCCTGTTGCGTTGCTTAAATCCTCATCGCAGTGTCCTGAATTCCAAACAGTTCAGCAGGAGCATTTGTTGGCATAGGAAATGAGGCCGGTGCTTTACTGCTTTTTTAAAGTATATAGTTTAGCCTAAGAGGAAGAAACCCCTTTCCACTCTGCCTCTCCTTTGTGGGAGGACGGTTTGCCGGCACCTACTGCAGATACATTTGCCAGCAACAACTGGGGCCGAGAGATAGTGCCCTCAGTTCTGGTTAATTTTGTCAAATTAGTGACCTTGGACTGAACAAAATGGTTTCTTGGGGAGTGATGGGAGGGGTGGAAAGAAGGAAAAAATATCTGTGCAAATTGGCCTGACCATTTGGTGACCCCGGAGGGAAGTTGAAACCAAGGACACATGCTGAGTGTGCCGGGGCGCAGGGCCAGCGATGCCTTTTGGGGGAAGCACGGGACGGCTGGGGTCTGCAGGAGATGGCTGTGCTCGGCCCCCCATGAGTAACCGGGTAGCGAGAGCACTTGGGGAATTTTGCCTGTAGATGCGAGTTAAGGGTCAGAATTAAATTCTGCGGGAAAACTCCACTGCAAGGGTTCAGATCCTGCTGTGCAGCATCTGAGACTGCACCAGCCCCTCTCCTTGCCTTGCTGGGTGTTTCAGGAAGCCTTTCCCACTCCCGGTGACATTTTTAGGCCTTTCTTCTGGGAGGAGTGAGGCTCACAGTTATATAAGCACATGCATATTCATGCCAGGAGCCCACGTAGGATGCTTCTGCCCGCGTCTGTTCATCGCGCAGGGCTCTGCATGGCTCCTGCTGTACGGGGTTATTTGTGCCCAGTTTGTCACGGAGTCAAAGTTTGGATGCTTATCTGAACCGGTTGGATCTGGGAGTAAAACTAGATTTTGGTTCAGACCAGAAGTCCAGCGTGCCCTTGTTTCCCTGCAGAAGCATCTGGGTATTTTTAGCGGTGAAACGCGTGTGTCAGGGCCAGCTGCCTTTTGGGGGAAGCACGGGACGGCTGGGGTCTGCAGGAGATGGCTGTGCTCGGCCCCCCATGAGTAACCGGGTAGCGAGAGCACTTGGGGAATTTTGCCTGTAGATGCGAGTTAAGGGTCAGAATTAAATTCTGCGGGAAAACTCCACTGCAAGGGTCCAGATCCTGCTGTGCAGCATCTGAGACTGCACCAGCCCCTCTCCTTGCCTTGCTGGGTGTTTCAGGAAGCCTTTCCCACTCCCGGTGACATTTTTAGGCCTTTCTTCTGGGAGGAGTGAGGCTCACAGTTATATAAGCACATGCATATTCATGCCAGGAGCCCACGTAGGATGCTTCTGCCCGCGTCTGTTCATCGCGCAGGGCTCTGCATGGCTCCTGCTGTACGGGGTTATTTGTGCCCAGTTTGTCACGGAGTCAAAGTTTGGATGCTTATCTGAACCGGTTGGATCTGGGAGTAAAACTAGATTTTGGTTCAGACCAGAAGTCCAGCGTGCCCTTGTTTCCCTGCAGAAGCATCTGGGTATTTTTAGCGGTGAAACGCGTGTGTGGCTGCAGGCAGGGGTTTTCCTGCGCGTGTGGTGAACTTGTCCTGAAGACTTCTTGGTTTTTGGGGTGGGTGGGGTGCGGGGAACTGGTGCAGTGATTGAATATGATGGTGAACATAGTGACTTACTGTGTGGCCAGACTCCTTCGGGAGGGGAGATCTCTGTTATCAGGAGTAATCGTTGTGGCTGATTTCATGAATAATGTCCAGTGCAAATGTCATCGGGCTAATTAAGTTTCCTGGCTGCCTTCCAGTACTCATGTCCAAGAGGTATGATTGTCCTGGACACACACTTAGCTTTGAGAGTGAAACAGCACATCTAGATGTGAAGTTGCTTATTAATATGCATGGTCAGCTCACCTCTTCGGTACCGTGGTGCTTGTGCTCTGTGCATAGTCACAACTTTTTCATCTGTTTGAGAGAGGTCTCGCACCTCCTTCTTTTGATATTGTAAAATCACAATGCTTCTGATTTTGGGTAGGTGACTGTGCAAGCCGGTTTTGTCTTCTCCGTTTAATTGTACTTTATCTGTGTAGGTCTTTGAAGCGGTTATTTCTTGGATAAATTATGAGAAGGAATCTCGCTTAGAGCACATGGCTAAACTGATGGAGCATGTTCGCCTACCCCTTTTGCCCAGAGATTATCTTGTACAGGTTAGTCTGCAAATAAGTAATTAATACTTGCACTGAAGCTGCTGGTAGCTCCTTAATCAATGGCTTGGCTGTTTGTGTCTGAGATGGGTAATTTGGCATGTCACTGAGTCTGTAAACAGAGAAATAAAAGGAAGAACTGGGTGGACTCTGAAATCAATGCGTGTGTGCAGAAACCTTCTTGTAAATGTGACCTCGGCAGTGCCGAGAGCGGAGCTCCTACCCCTCTTGATGAAAGCATTTGGAAGTTAATATCGTGGGATTTCTCACCCTGAAAATACCCAGGTGGTGGTGTTACAAGCTTGTGCAGGGTTTTTTCCCTAGTGCGCAGGTAAATTTACCTTGGTGAAAACACTTCATGTGAGATAATTTTGGCCTAAGACGTGTTCTGTGCATAGAGACAGGTCTGTGTGACCGGCAGGTGAGATGCTCTCTGACTTAGTCTGACTTAGAGATTGTTCTCAACAAGTTAATTCCTGGGATCTGGGCCTTGATAATGAGCTGAGAATCCTCAAAGGAAGGAGTTGGCATATGGACTTTTTGACTACTATGCTTTTATCATGTGTCTAAAAAAATCAATACAACTGAAATAAAATTGATATTCACAAGATGAACCCACCATGTATTTTTTTTCTCTTAACTATATCTTCTGATTGAGTAAAAGATATTGTCTTGCCTTAAAAAAAAAAATCTGACTCAAATAAAAAATTACTTATTTTGTACCCAGACTCCTGGGGAATTCTCCTCTGCTGAGATATTAAGCATCTGGCAGAGAGTGGTAAAATAGAGGGAGCACTGCTACTCTTGAACGATACTGAAGGGAAGTGAGGAGCTTGGATGTTACTGCATGTGTTTGGGAAGAGCTGGAAGTCTGTGTCTGTCTTCTGCATTCTTTTTTTTATGTTGGTATTTTTGGAAGAGAAATTCTAGGTTTCATGTGCTTTCTACAAAGCTCCTTGTGACCTGTGCCACCAAGTACTTCAGTTTAAATGATCTTTCATGTGTGTGCGGGTTCTCAGACAGTTGAAGAAGAAGCTTTAATCAAGAATAACAACACCTGTAAAGACTTCCTTATCGAGGCCATGAAATATCATTTGCTTCCTCTGGATCAAAGGCAACTGATAAAGAATCCTAGAACAAAGCCGAGGACTCCCGTTAGCCTGCCAAAGGTAAGCCGAGTTGGTCGCACCATGTTACTGGTGGCATTTTCTGTCTTTGAAATGAGCTTGCATACTTGCCGCATTACTTCTCACTAACTCCATGATCCTCCTTTGAAGTGTTTTACTCCCTCTTCTGGTATTGCCTATGCCTGCCAAGGACACATAATTAAGTTGGATAAACTTAGATAAACCCTTAGGAGAAGCAATGTCTCTGCTCCCAGGGGCAAGGGTCTGCTCTTGAAACGTTTTGTCAGCCACAAGTGGTTTTGTGAACGGCTGGTGCTCCTGGAGCCATGGCTTGAGAATCGCTGACCCGTGGAGCAGCAGCGGTGGCAGGCAGCCTCCTGTAGTGCTCAGAGGGTCGGCTGAGGTTTCTGCTGGCTTGTAGCACTGTCATGGAGCCCTGCTGAGGAGGGTCACAGTAGGTGTCTGTCTTTTTCCCCGTATTCATGATCAGAAGCCAGGAAAGCAGGAAACAACGGCACCCAGACCCGTGGGCAGGAAGTCTGAAGCAAATTTCAATAGACTCAAAGCAGCTACTGAATAAATAATCCTTGTTACTCCCTGCGTTTATCCTGCAGGCGTGTGATGCTCTGGCCACCACTTTATTAGTGAAGAAAAAAATGACAACAGAAACTATTTTCCCTGTGCCCTGGAGATAAATGCAGTTTGGCACGATGTCTCTGAACAGACTGTCACTGAAGTTATTAGTAAGCATTTCGGAGATTGTAAGGCATCAAAACCTCAGTGTATTATTTTTCTAAGCACAAATCATAGGGAGCTTGGTTTGTGGGATGGTGTATGAGGTCTGTGCTATGAAGGACTATTCAGATGTTTAGATATTGGACTGTCCATCGAGAAATTGTGGTTCTGCAGAGTGTGTCAACGTGTTGTGTCCTTTCTGCCTGCTGATGCCGAGATGAAATTGGTAGAACATAGCTTTGGGGGTGTCAGGAAGGGCTGATGCGACCCTTGTTCAAGGACTAAAGTAGTTAAGGATAAAATGAACAGTGAACCAGCGAGTTCAGAGGTGCTGAACATCTTTTTATAGCATGACCTATGAGTACAAACCCAAATCTTCTGCAGGTCTCTCCTCCCTTCTTTTTAACTGTAAAGAAAGGGGAGAAGGCGATGATGTTCCAGCAATCCTGTTACTGAGAAACTTTCATCTGGTCTGTTGGTCCTGCTGATGAGGGATTACCGTCTGCTGTGAAATCTCTTAATTCTGTAATCGTGTGAAGCTCTGCAGCTTTCCATGGAAGACTGTTACACAACTAGTAGTCAGGCTGCTAATTTAGACTCAATTTGCTTTCTAATGTCACATTCTTATCTTTGTAGATCAAACAGTCCACTATTTTCATACTCCTCAAATTCTTTAAAATGCTGTCGAGCTCTGTACTTTTAAAGCAACTGTGATTGGAGTTGAGCTCATTACCTGAGTGACCTCGAGTGACAATCTTACCCCCTCAGCTACTCACAGCTGCCTTGCAGGGGCTAAAGCCAGTTTCCTATCTACTCTTTAACTACATTTGAAGCCCCGTTATCTTACTTCTAGCTCCTTGGCCTTGTAAAAATCAGATTGTCTTGGGTAGTGTTTGCTCCTGCCAATTTGCTGTGATAAGGGGAGCAAACCCTCCCTCTTGATAGCTGTGGAGGGTCGAAGGAAATGTGTTTAGAACAAAGTGCAGGTCGAGCTGTTTGTAGGTGCTGTAGGCTTGGATGCTGCCTGTGCATGTGTTGGTTTGCAGTGCCCAGCTGGGGCTCAGCAGCGGTGGGCAGCCCTCGAGTGCTGAGCTGCAGGCTCCTGGGACCACTGCTCCTGGGCCAGTTAGTGAGTCCGTGGGGAGTTTATCTTCTGGTGGCAGACAGGGCAGATTTGGGAAGGACCACACTGCATGCCATCCAGGTCTTCTCGCTTTTCCACCAGTGTCCACTGCCTGCCGTTGTTGGGGATGGAGTCTGGGGCCGGACAGACCTTTAGCCTGATCTGGCAGAGTGGTTCTTGTGCTCCTGAGATTGCCCTTGATCACCTTCACATAGATCTTCCCTATCTGTAAATAATTTAGGGTTTAATTACTGGATTTGCATCAATACACGTTGCAGCCAAAAGCCTTGATGAAGCTGACAAATCACTTCCTTTGGCAGCCCAGCACCCCAGGTCTTAATAGTCCGGTGATTTCCCCGAGTGTTGTCTTCCCCGCAGGTGGCAATACAGCTGTCAGATTTTATTTGCTAAGTGGCATCGATTATTTTTAGCACCACCATGGAGATAATGACTAAACAGTGGGCTGGCTCTGGAAATTATGCTGGGATCCTCTTCGCTTAAAAATACTTCTGCAGTGAGTCTTGTGTGTGCCATGGTGCCAAGTGGTTTTGTGTTTCATGGGGAAATAGGGCAGGTTGCCCACCTCAAATGGTGAGGAATGGTTAATGGTGCTGCCATATTTAGCATGCATTAAATTGGAGATAACTTTCTCCCCCCGTCGCCCCCCCCCACAGAGGCTTTTAGTAGGCCTGCAGCATGTTTTTGGCAGCTGCTCTCAGCCAGGTTGTGCCGATGGTTTCTTTGCAGGGAGCGGCTTCCCGGGCTAGTGTCTGAGGTTTTCTAGCTCTCATCTTCCCTCTCCAGGTGATGATCGTGGTGGGTGGGCAAGCACCCAAAGCCATTCGCAGTGTGGAGTGCTATGATTTTGAGGAGGAGCGGTGGGATCAGGTTGCTGAGCTTCCCTCCCGGAGATGCAGAGCAGGTAACGGGAACTTTTCCTGCAACCTTCTTCCTTTTCCCAGCGCAGCTCTTCAGGGCTGGATGGATGTCCTCAGTCGTCCCTTTAGCCTTCCTCTGTGCCCCTGGCCTCAAGCAGCTCTTTCTTTGTGCCATTCCTTCCTCCTCTTTCCCTACGCACATGTATCCTTCTCGTTCAGGTGGATGCCCTGCTCTCTAGAGGTGTTGCTCCTGCCTGTCTGCCCTCCATAGCCACTGTCTCCCCTTCATTATGTCTCTCTCCTGGCTGCTGCTCCATCAGTGTTTCCCCTCCTCCTCCCATCCCGCTGGCCTGGCAGCTCACAGGGATTTAGTTTTCCATGCTGGTTTACTAGTGAAAATCAAAGGGGCTGAGTCAGGCCCTCTTGGTGCTGAAGCAGATCTGTAAGTTGGGAGTGTTCCTCTGAAGACATCTGAGAGGGCTGTGTATGTGGATCACCATTTGGTGTCCTCTCTGCCTCAGAAAATTTTTCATTCAGGTGTGAAATCCATCTGTGCCTTATGTTGCCGTGTATTTGTGTGCATTTCACTTTCCATGACATGCATGTTTTATCGTACTTGGCTCCAATGCTCTTAATCTGCAGAAAATGCCAAAGACTTGCCCACGTTCTGCTCTTCCCTGCTGTCTTACCTCGACAGACGCCTGATGATACTCGCTTCCCAAGCTGTTTGTAAACCTCCGTAAAATCTCTCTCCTCTTTTATCAGGTGTGGTATTTATGGCTGGCAATGTTTATGCTGTCGGGGGCTTTAACGGATCTTTAAGGGTACGGACGGTTGATGTGTACGATGGCGTGAAGGACCAGTGGACGTCCATAGCCAGCATGCAGGAAAGACGAAGCACTTTAGGCGCAGCTGTGCTCAATGATCTCCTGTATGCAGTGGGCGGCTTTGATGGCAGCACCGGTAGGTGACTGAGCAAAAACCAGGCAGTGCCTGACCCAAAAAAATGTTTTCAGAGACCCCTGCAAAGACTGCAGAGCTTTAGTGAGGTTCCTGCGCCCTTCCTCTATGATTTTGTAGAGAAAGAGCCAGAGATTGGGTTTACTGTGTGTTGTAACTAACCACATGCACATTATGACCCATCAGTAATTGCAGAGTATCTCACTATCAGCTAGTGATGAGTACAACGCAACAGGGTCTGGGGGAATTTTTAAACCTTTGCAAGGACATTTTGTAATGCTTGAAAGGATGTGGGACTTTTGGGCTTGGAATCTGGACTCTGCTCCTCCTTGGTGTCCCCAGCACATTGGAGGGGCAGCAGTCCCAGGGCAGAGGCCATGGGGTAGCAATTTTTCCAGCCGCTGAAGAAGTGGCGTTGACATGCTGGCCCCAGCCTGAAAGGCAAGGGACTAGAAAATTGGGTTGCAGGAGTGTGGGGGGAATTACGGGCTTGGGAGGAGGTGGAAGGCAGATGAAAGTGCAACACCAATCTTTTTTTCTTCTCTTTTTTTTTAATTAGAAAACCTGTGTATCCCCTTTTTAACTAGGTCTGGCATCAGTTGAGGCCTATAGCTATAAAACCAATGAGTGGTTTTTTGTGGCTCCCATGAACACAAGAAGAAGCAGTGTTGGAGTTGGAGTTGTGGAGGGTAAGAAAATCAGTAGCCATTTCCATCAAGCAAATGTTACTGTGTCAAACAGAAGCCTGAACAGTTAAGTGCAATAGGAGGAACTGCAGGAACTGTTCTCTAGACTATCTTTAGTTGGTAAAGATTTATTTTATATGACGTAATCGCTGCAGCTTTTTCCATTCTCCTCTTTATCTTAGTGAAAAATCATGGGTAGCTTTCCAAGAGCCTCAGGCCCATATCAGACTAGCCCATGCCTCCTGCGAATGCCATTAGGTGTGTGCAGGTTTCTTTGAATCCTTTATCTTAGTGAAAAATCATGGGTAGCTTTCCAAGAGCCTCAGGCCCATATCAGAGCAGCCCATGCCTCCTGTGAATGCTATTAGGTGTGTGCAGGTGTCTTTGAATCCTTATTCTTCCTGGGCTGCTTCTGGCCAACGAAAGCAAATGGTATTGTGCAGTGTTGCCATCAGCAGACATTGTGTGGATGGAGTACCCATCACAGAAAATCTGCTCGGCGAGAGAAACAGGAGCATAGTTCATCCCGCAGCCCCAAGCTGATGGTTTGACAGGAATACTAAAACCTGTGTTTATTGACATCAGGCCTGCCGGCACACACGGCACGATTTGCTCTGGTTCGTAAAGGAGTAGGGACTGACGACAGCGAACGCTGGTGCTGCGGGAGCGAGGCAGGCGAGGTGGGTGGAGAGGGTGCTTGGAGGGATCGCGGTGGCTGTTGGCACCTATGTGTCAGCACCAAACTCAAGTGAGCTGGAACTGAGCATCTTGGTTTGGATCCAGGAGAAAGAACGGCTTAAGTAGGAACCTTTTCTTCCTTTAGCAAAATCAATTCTGAAGCAAGTGAAAGGTTTTATTTGACCTTGTCTTTAGCGTGGTGTAGCAGTTTCCAATTAGTACAGTGTGGAGCAGCCGCTGGCACAAGCCTTGTTATAAACTGTGCTTTGAAGTGGCTTGGTTTGACCTGTGTGCATGGGAAATACATGAAATGTGTTTATGTGAGAAGAGGGAGGGAGATAAAGTCAGAATAAATAATGGTGGTTGAGCTAAATTTGCGTATTTAAGAAGCGTCTCCTTCAAAATTGGCTGTGCTTGTGAAGTGCTGGGCTGCTGGTAGTCAGTGGGATTTGCTGGAGTGGGTCAGTCATTTGAATGTGGAACAAATATTAAGTACGTACCCGAGAGATGCATTTCTATGGATAGGTTTTCTACTGGAGACATATGAAATCCTTTTCCTTTGCTTTGTTTGAAAAGTGCAGATAAGTGTTGCACGTGTTGGAGTCCACGATAAAAAAAAAAAAATATAATGAGGGCATGTGATGGGGAAGAAGAGCTCATCGTATTGGTGTAGGGAACAAGCTGCAGCCTGCAGTTAATCCACAGTGTTCATCTGAATGTGATGAAGATTGATCTGATGTCTGTGGGCACTGAAAATATCTAGTAATTGATGCCAGCCAGGGGACTTTATCTTGTCTTGCTCTGTCCGGCACTCTTGCCTTGATTCATTGACTAACACCAGGCAGGTTGAAACAACAGCGCGAATAAGAGTTTGAAATGTTTATAGAGACAGGAAGATGCAGAAGGAGCGCAGTTGTAAACCTGATCCTTGCAAACCTCTCCTAATGATCACAGCCCGAGGAAGGTATGAGTGGAGCTGAGGAGATGTAATGGGCATGTGATGGGGAAGAAGAGCTCATCGTATTGGTGTAGGGAACAAGCTGCAGCCTGCAGTTAATCCACAGTGTTCATCTGAATGTGATGAAGATTGATCTGATGTCTGTGGGCACTGAAAATATCTAGTAATTGATGCCAGCCAGGGGACTTTATCTTGTCTTGCTCTGTCCGGCACTCTTGCCTTGATTCATTGACTAACACCAGGCAGGTTGAAACAACAGCGCGAATAAGAGTTTGAAATGTTTATAGAGACAGGAAGATGCAGAAGGAGCGCAGTTGTAAACCTGATCCTTGCAAACCTCTCCTAATGATCACAGCCCGAGGAAGGTATGAGTGGAGCTGAGGGGGAGAACAGGGGTCAGAGGCAGGACCATGAGAAAGAAAAGAGCTGGCCTGTTCTTCGAGCCTTGCAAGCATCAAGGAAACAGGAGGATGGAAAAGCGTAAGAGTATAGATGATAACTGCTGGTGGGAGTCTCGTGATAAAGAATTGCATAGCTCATTTGTGGCCAGGCTCTGCTGTTACGGACTGAAAATTGGTCTTATTCATGGGTTTTGTACAAAAATTTGGGTTAGAATTTTCCTGCATATTTGTTGAACTTTATTAATGGTTGTTTGTTGCAATGTCTAGGAGGCCCGGTCTAGAACCAGAACGCCTTTGTGCTAGGTGATCTAGTAAAGAAACACAAAGAAGCCCTCTCTGCCCAGAGGGTTTACTGCCTAAATGCAAAATGAGCTGATAGACAATACAGCGAGATAAGGAGAGATTATGAGTCAGGTCTGTGAACAGAGGACGCGGTGGAGCATTAGCCTTGTTTCACGTATGGTGTAGTCCTGTGACATCTGACTGTGTTTTTCCAGTCTCTCTAGGTGTATGTTGTCCAGCTTTCGTCGAGTTGAAGTAGGGAGGGACAGATATACCATGCTGTGAGGGTCTCCTGTGGTATCTTCTGTGTTGTGATCACCTGGCGTGAGTGAGCAGGCTGGCCTCAGCTGTGCTAGCAGCATTGGTTTGTTTTGATTTGGCCCAGGTTCTTCAAAATCAGGTCTAGGTTTCCATGCAGGTATTATATTAACATAAGAGGCTATTGCATATTTATTGCTCATGTGATATTGTAATTAATGTACAGTATCGACCTTTGACAGCACATTTTGCCTTGTGGCACCTGAACAGGAGGAAACAATCGGCAGAATGTGCTTTGATGTTACCTCTTCTCCTGGGCCAACAAGTCATTTGGAAAACCCTCTGGGCTTTTGGCTTCTAATTTAGCTGTTGTGTCGTGTATTTCCTTGTCTTAGTTGACAGCTTTAACAGCTTTAAAAACAATCCTGCCTGTCTGCGAGTTTCCTTCACATCCTTTTGGTAGGATTTTCCCCAGACATCCCAGCAGGTTTAGGCACATCTCCCAAGGCCTCCCTCAGCCGGGATCTGTCCTTACCTGGGGCCGTCAGGCGTGATGGTAATGTAAATCAGTCGTAGCCGTAATGCCGATGCCAACGTGTGTCTCTTCCAGGTAAGCTCTATGCTGTGGGGGGTTACGATGGAGCGTCCCGTCAGTGCCTTAGTACCGTCGAGCAGTATAACCCAGCCACGAACGAATGGACCTATGTAGCCGACATGAGCACTCGACGCAGCGGTGCAGGTACTGGCTCCGAGATGTGTTCTTAAGAGTGGGTGATCGCTAGGTTCTCCTCGGCTCACGGAAAGGAAGGAGAAGTGTGTTTTGGCATTGCCTGGCTGGCAAGCGCAACCTGTTGTTTTCCCCTTCTTCCCATGAGGGGAAAAACCGTAATTGCTTGGAAGCTCTCAGCAGCTCTCCTGACTTTGTTAAAATCTGCCAAATTGAAATTAATTTCTGGGTTAATGAAATAACGTTCAGTGTTTCTAAGTAGCCTTGCTAACAGATGCATCTCACTTGTAAGCAGAGAGTTATCTTTCCAAATCACCAGCTGCAGGCTCAGCCAGGGACTGGAAAGCCAAGCTGCGTTCTCCTTCTCTCCTATCATTTGGGGGTTGTCAGATGGATTTTCCTTTTGGATCTTCTCTGCAAGCATCCAGTGGGTGCTCTGCAGCACAAAGCACATCTGCACTGGGTGATGTGCAGACCAAGTCAAGGTAACAAAATTAATCTCAGATTGCCCCTGCTAAGCTTGATTTTTAGTGTACCTTTTGCTGGCAAGAGTTGGTGATCCGGAGGATTAGAGGAAAGGACATGTTAAAAAAGGATTATATTCTAGTCTTGATGGTTTCTGACTTACTATGTGATGTTAGGCCAGGTAGGCACTTGTCCTCTCTGTGGCTGTTCCTCTCTGAAAGGGATAAAAGCTCTTATCCATTGCATTTAAAATCATCTTCAGATGAAAGGGAATGTGTCCGTATTGGTCCTATTGCTCAGTGTGTGCAGTGAGTCCTCCCTGATGTCAAATTGTGCAGTTCTCGTTTTACAACAGCCAAAGTGGTGGTTACCAGAGGTAGCCAAGCCCAGAGGCTGCCCTTTGTGTGCGGGCTGAAATAACCCTGCCGTGGGAATTTCATTCTGAACTGGGTGGTCGGGAGACTGCTCTCTACACACCATCTTTCTTTCCTCACTCTAATACCTTTTCCATAACTCCAGGTGAAGTAGATATGGTCACACACTGTTGGCTTGAATTCAGTTGAAGAGGTTTTTAGTATCTGCTTGATGCTTAGACCTAGCCCAATGCAACCTTATAGAACAGAACGAGTATCTCGCGTTGTTGACAGCATGTTGAAACACAGCAAAACAGTTTGTGCCTGTAGTGAGATGGATTTTAGTGAGTCATCTTTGTTTGAAACACTCTGCTCTGAGCACTGCTTTGCAAGTACATCTCCATATGGCAAGTCCAGTATTAGGAATGCTCTTGCTTGCCTGCCAAATAGCCTTGCAATTTTCTGTTCCCAACCTGAAAGCTGAGCTCCTCAAGTTCTGGTTGTCACCCAGGTGCCCCTCCAGCAGGCACCGGGGAAGGGACTGGCCGGTGCCACTCATCACAAGTGGTGCTGCAGCATGATCTATAAATGAAACCGTGCTCAGAGCTGCCGGCATTGCCGTCCCGATGCTGACATCTAGTGGAGGTGAGGACGGGTGTCCCCAAGTCCCTGGGGTGACCCCAATCCAGGCAGTGGGGCTGTGTGGATGTGCGGGCGCTGGCAGTGCTGGGTTTGCTGTGCTTTCCCCTCCTGGCAGGGACGTCCCATCCGTGTGTGCCCTGTTTCGCACACAGGGAGGCAGTTTTAGATGGAGAAGCCTTAGAATGTTTCCGACTCTTTTACTCTCCTACTTGCTTAAATTAGTCTACTAATTAAATTATTTCTTAAAAGTGTAAAATTTTTGCTTAACAGCTGAGTATAGTCAAATGCTAAGGTGCTGCAAACCCAGGCTGCTGGGCTCAGACGCAGTAGGCTTTCCTCACCAGTTAAATGAGTTCCCATTCCCCAGTCAACTGGGAGGCACCAGCTCTGGGGCCAGGACGTGTACTGGGATGTGTTCTGCTCTTCTTAGATGGTGCACGTTGGAGTACCTCAACCAGACTGAGAATTTCACCCAGTAAGGTGGATATTTATGGCAGTTAGACATTAATCACCAGTGTTTTCCAGAGATGAACCATGAATCCCAATGTCACGTTGGGATTTCAACACCTCTTGATGCAGCGGGAGACGGCTGGTCAAAGCCAAAGCCAGCAGCAGCAAGTTAAGAAAATCTGGAGAAGAGAGAGGTGATGGTGGTAGACCTGCGGCAGCATTCCTGTCCCCCAAACGGTGGTGTGCCTGCTGGAGTTTTAATTCATCAGTCAGTCTCAGTTAGGTGCTGGCCTGTTTTTGGGTGAGGGAGGAGTAATAATGCTCAGATGTTTTCCCTCCCTGCCTTGTGTTGTCGTCCTGCAGGTGGAGCACAGCGGCTGCTGTGGTCGGTGCTCCTGCTGACCATGGCAAGACTTGGAGCAATGTGACACATCGCATTTTTGGGATGTGACACACCACCAGGAGGTGTTCCCGCGGCACGGGAGCTGCCGAGCCCGAATGGTGCCTGCTCTCTGGCTCACCATGGCAGCGCTGCTCCTGTGCTCTCCTTTCCCTGTGCTGCACGTGGCAAACAGGAAAGATATTTGCACAGGGGCCAACTTGAAAACCCATCGGTTTTACGCTGGCAGGGCCCCTCTCCTCCCTGTGCACGCCTTTCCGGCTCTGTGCCTTTCCCTCAATCGTCAGCACGAGTCCATCTTCAGGGCACGAGGGCCGTCCTGCTGGTAAATGCTCGTGGTTGAAATGATGGAATTCAGATCTATGTTTCTGTTTTACTAACATCCCACCTTGTTAATTTTAATAGAGGCCTTTGAACCTATTAACGAAGATATGTTGCTGGAAGTTTTAACTCTCACGGATTGGTGAACATTTTAATTAATTTACTTAATATTAGGCAGAAGCACCCTTCAGATCCCTGTCATTCCCAGAGATTGAGCCAGGGGCTTGCGAAAGTGGCTGGGAAGGTGGCCTTGGAGGCACCTTGTCTGTGCAAGTGCTGCTGCCGTGTTTGGGGGCGGGAGTGGGGGGAGAGGAACCCAGTGGCAACCGCAACAACTGGAGACAGTAAGTTGTTGAGAAGAGGAAGAGTGTCCAAGGGATGAAGGCATGTGGCACAAAGGCAGCAGGAAAAGCAAAAAGCTCTTGAAAGTGGGAATCAAGCTAAAAGCAAAGGGTCCTGTGGCAGAAAAGATCAGGCAGATAGGGACGAGGTGGGGTGGGATGCAGCAGTCAGGGAGGTAAAGGGAAGAGAGAACAAGTCAGTCCAAAAAGATTGAATAAAGGCAGACGAATGTCATGGGACTAGACTACTGATCTCAGATAGACTGAGATCTACCTGAGAAAGGGGCACAGCCCTGAAAGATAGGACATCTGCCAGGCGTTACTGTGCAGGTCTGCTGTAGTGTCACGTGGTGGTTGGATGGAGACTTGACCACGTCCCAGGTGATCTTGAGGCACATGTGGCCCATGTTTTGGAAATGCTTTGGAGAGGCCAAGGCAATACCCAGTAGAAGACCCAGGGACATGCAACCCTTTCCCCTGGACGTTTGGCTAATGCTGGGCTCTGTTTGGCAGGTGTCGGTGTTCTGAGCGGGCTGCTGTATGCTACAGGGGGGCACGATGGTCCCTTAGTAAGGAAGAGTGTGGAAGTCTATGATCCAGGAACAAACACCTGGAAGCAAGTAGCAGACATGAATATGTGTAGAAGAAATGCAGGTAACCACAATAAGCCTTTCTGTGGTGTTTGGTTGTAGTTGTCTGTGTGTTTTTAATGCAGCTAATGTGCTAGTGATGTAAGTGATCAGTATTGTAAGAAAGTGATAAAAATGGAAGATGAGGTATCTGCTTGGGAATGAATCGGAACATGGCAGATGACGTGTCATGGGGGATGAGTTAGCCCATGTCTAACCATCTGTGCTCTGCTTTGAGGTGTGTGTGCAGTGAATGGTCTCCTCTACGTGGTGGGAGGAGATGATGGTTCCTGTAATTTGGCCTCGGTGGAATACTACAACCCCATCACGGACAAGTGGACGTTATTACCAACCAGCATGAGCACGGGGAGAAGTTACGCAGGTATATAGTCAGTGGGAGAGCTGAAAACAGCTGGGGTCATTCATAAACTAGAGGGCTGTGCCTCCTGAAGCTTTAATCTTATATTTTTGTATGTTTTATGTGGCTTTCAGTAGAGGAACCTGTCATAGAATTAGTAGACACCTCTCCCTCTGCTAGCCCATTGCTAGTCTTTAAAGGCTTTGCAGGGTGATCTTAGCCACATTGCAAGCCAAGAGTTTCTCCTATGATAACTGTGTCTGTCTGTCCATTCTTACAACAGGTGTGGCTGTGATTCACAAACCGTTGTGACACATGGTCAAGCCAATGCAAGGAGCAGAAGTGCAGTGGATCCAGCTAGGGTGGTGTTGGGAAGATGACTGACCTCTGACTTGACCCATCTCATTGCTGTTAACGTCTCAGCATGACAAGTGATACATTGCAAACATCATCTGCTCTGCGGTGGATTGCGTAGCAAAGCGAAAATCCCTCTGGGGACATGTTCTATGCTAGACACAAGGTGTTGCTTGTTATCTGTGGTGCAATCAACTGTTCTTCTCAATGGCTGGTGTCCTGAGATAAACACTGTGCTTGAACTGCAGGCACTGAATTTCTTGTGTGAAACAAAACTGCTACGTTTGGGCATGTGAGTAAAAACGAACACTTCTGGATTTCTTCACTACTGATGCTCCGTGCACATTATCGGTTGAACTATTTACTCACTGTGCCTGGAGGGTGGACTTTACTACTGGTGGTGGAAACTTCTGAGTACCAACCGAGAAAAGCAGTTGGCAGAAATGGACTGGAACAGGGTGCTCTGGCTTGAGTGTGACGCTGTCTCAGTCATACGTTTGTATATGCCACTGGACTACTGTATGTATCCCTGAAATGCTTGTCGTATGGTGGAAATAAATGCCATGTGATTTTTTTTTTTTTCTACTCGCCATGAATGCTGTTTGCTGTACGTGATGGGACCTGCTGGGCAGTGCCTTCCCTGGGGCTGAAGTCTCGGCACCTGAACCACGCAAAACTTCGTGACCCCACAAAACGTGTGCTGCTCCGATGGGCTTTATTGCTCCTGTGAAACAAATATTGCTGGAATAGAAAGTATTCCAACCCATGCACTTCAGCTGTGCTGAAAGCCCCAGTTCTAGCCCTGTCCAGCATCTCAATGCCATTTCATAATAGAGTGTTTAGATGTTAAAAGAAATACCTCATGGTGCCATTAATGTAGAGACATATACAGTGAGAATCCTCTGTCACCCAAGCAGTGATTAATGAGCAAGGTAAAATACTTTCAGTGTTTTAATGCTTCCAGAGTATGGAGATTAATCAGTGTCACTGTAATTGCTATTTTAATCTTGCCCGTACTGAAGGCGTTCCTCTATTAGTATGAAGAATTCATAAGATTATTCAAATCAGACAAATCTAGATCCAGCTGTAATGTAGCTGTCTTGCTTACATCCCAAATTCTTAAAACTTTCTGTTTAGGAAGATGTTTGACTTTAAAATACCTTTTTGTGTCTCCTTGTGAGCTCTGGAATGTTTCTGCATACAGGGGTGGACCTCCCAAAAGACTCCCCAGCTAAAGAGAACTAATGAAGAAAAATATTTTCTCACCTTTTGTGTTTTGTTTTGGTTTTTTTGTTTTTGTTTTTCCCTCCGTAGATCAGCTGAGGCTTTCTGTAGCGGGCAGCTGGCCTGCAGGACAGAATCTGCCCGTGTTACTGTCGAGCTCCAGCACTTACCACTGTTGTTCTGCTGGTTTCTTTCTCCATAGATCTCCTATCAAAAAGACTCCACGTGACCTTCTACAGTAGAAAAAAAAAATACTTAAAAAATTATTTCAGAGGGACCTAAGGCTACCTCACCTCGTGCAGCTTTTGTAGAGGAGTGGGTTACTTCTGTAAATAAGTAGATTTTTAATGTTGGAGTTGACTCGGTCCTTGTAAGATGGGTGCCTGCTCACTGTGGGGAAAACAGCTCCTACCTTTGTTGTGTTACCTCCCACAGAGGGGGCTGACCTTCGTGGGGAACGTAGCACCCACTCCTCTTTGCATGTTCTTGTTTTTACAAACAAAAGCAAACTGTCCAAAGAAATGGCAGTATTATTCTTGATGTCTACCCTTCCATTGTACGTCAGCTCAGAGGTCTTGAAAATAATAATGAAAAAAAATCAGTCTTTTCTATAATACCCTTTAAACCTTTTGCTTTGGGTTCTACAATCTGCAGTGAAACGTGCCAAAACAGTAGTACGACATGCTGCTCTCTTACAAGGTGTTGCTTACTGTAAAAGCTATTGAGGCTGGTAGGAATGTATCCCTGACTGCAGCTGCCTTCGGATCAGAGTCCCGAGATGCATCTTTACAGTGGCATAAGCAAGATGATGCCTTGGTTTGGACTGACTCAAATTCACTGCCCCAAAAGCAAACGCCAAAAGGTGTTTCCCTTTCATGCAGCCTGTGGGAATAGAGGATAAAATGGGACAGGCGAAGCGTTGTGGTCGCAGTTAGCATCTCTTGTTAGGCTGAGATGGCTGGACAAGGGTGGACAAGCGTTTGGGCGCGCATGGCCCTCGTTAGGTCTGGTATAGACATAGGGAATGTAAAGCTAAATAGCTACTATACGGCCCAACTGCAGCTCAATAGTTGGGAACAGTTACCAGCTAACCTTCTCGCACTCGTAGCATCGCTGGAGCAAAGGCAAATATTACCCAGAGACTAAGAGTCTATGTGGGCTAGAGATAAAAACTGGTAGGTAGCGCTGGAGAGATGCATGTTTGAAATTTGCCGTGTTTGTCAGATGTCGGGAAAGGTGAATATACCTGAAAGTTGGATAATTTTTCCCCTGCTATACATCTCTTTATAAACCTTCCTTGCTTACAAGGAAAGCAGTTTTTGGTGGTTTTTTCCTGCTATTGTAAAATGGCATTTCTGCCCACTGCTGGCCCAGACCCGCAGCTCGCTGGACAGGGCTAGGACTCGCAGCCCTTGCCAGGGACGAGTGATGGTGTTCCTGGCTGCAGCCAGTTCTTCTCGATGGCAAATGACACGTTTCCTTCTTTCCTTCTCAAACATTGCAGTGTTATGCAAGTCAAGTGACCTCGTTTTCCAGCTATGCAATATGAACAACCGTAACGTGTGACAAACCAGCTGTATCCCCCCCCTTGAAATGCTTTTTGAATTTGTCCGTCTTTGGCGTGTGGTTTCATGTTTGTATTGTTAATTCTGAGCACCTGAGCCAGATCCTTTAAAGATTGCCTTTTTCTAGGACTGAAAACGTAGCATTAGCGCTAACAAATTTTACTGTAAATATTTTTATAAGACTTTTAAATAATTTTTTGGATCGCTTTTTATGGTCATCAATGACGCTTCTGTTAAATTCTGGATCTAATTCTTACACTCCAGTGCGGTTTTTGCTGGCCATGATGTAGGTGTGAATCTGTGTGTTTTCTGCACAAGAAATTAAATGTTGTAACTAAGATCTGGGATAGCTCTTATGTTGATTCTAACATATTAGAAGGACAGCATTGGGCTCAACATTATGAGATAAATTAAAATCCATTACCTCAGTCACCAGTACGCTCTTAGATTATTAGTTATTTTACAACAATTTCAATACTCTGATTTAATGTTCTTGTGCCGTGTGTTTGCTTCCCGGTCAGCTTGGTGGACAGGCTGTCTCTCGGCGGTTTCGCTTCTCGGCTCCTGCGTGAGCGCGGTGCTGCTTGAAGATGGAGGATGCCATGTACACAGCAGCGCACGCGCGTGTGCAAACCCCCCAGGCTGCCAAAACCAGTGAAATTATTGCGGGAGGTTTTGTAAAAGCTTTACAAACCGAACTCAGGCTACTTCCTCGCAATGGTCCTTTGTGAATATGAAGGCTTTCCTCGGCTCTCTTCTGTAGTCGGCTCTTTTTGGGGGTCACCACGTGCAGACCCCCTGCGGGATTCTGGCCGTGGGTTTCCCACAGGTGACTCTGCTCTTGCGGAGAAAGCATGCCTGGGGATGCGCACCCACAGAACCCAACAGCGTCGCGTGTGGGTACACACACTGCTGGGTTTGCAAAACAGGCAAGCATATGTAAAGCAGGATAGATTTGTCTCAAGCAATCTGTTGTTTAAACAAGTTTGAATCAAGTCCATCTTTTCCATTTGTGCCTAATAGATAAATTGGGGGTGATTAAAACCAATTTTCAGTTCATTCAGTTTATCCAAATACTTTTTTGTACAGATGTGTACAGCACTGTAATTACCGTAAATATACTTGGCAGCATTTGCATAACCACCATGAAAGCTTAATACTGTTCTCTCATTTGCAGTGTTTGGAGACCAAAATCCTTAATATCCAGCGAAGTGTGATGCCTATTCATCAAGCTAACACGATGGTTCAGCAGATAAATGCAGCTTGTTTTTTAACCTTTGGGATTCGTTACTAATAAAATGTAGTATCAAAGCAGTTGCCCCCTTGGCTTAACATCATGCCCGCTAATCACATTCACATGAGCGTGATTTGTTGCTCAAAGCTACAGCATCTGGGAGTGTGTTTGACATTGTAGTCTGCAAATGAGTGAATTTACTTTTTTTCCTCTGCTCTTATTTTTGTTTATGGGTTTATAAATTATTTTCCTCTACAGTGACAATAAATAAATATTGAGAATTTTAGTTTGTATATTTTATGCATAAAAAAAACCCTTTAAGAAAAATGGATGATTGTGAAATAATTTACCTGGGTGTGGAATTATTTGTTTTTGTAAAACAGACTTTGTTGGTTCAGTAGCTGACAGTATAATGTAATGAGTCGGTTGACTGTTTAAGCTAATTTTTCTAATTAAAGATTTTTTGCATGAGTGTGAAGGACCAAGGACTTTGCAAAGTAATTCTCTCAACAGCTGTCTTGTCCAGTGCAATGAAGGACTCAAGAAACATTCTTCACTGGCATATTTATATTATAAAAGAAAATCACGTTGTAGTTCCCCATCCTTTAATTTGAATAAAAACTGGACTAATGAAACTCTTCTGGGTCTATTTTGATTTCGTCGGCTTCTGACAGTGAGGAACAATCTCGTCACTCCACACGGCTTTTTTCACCCTCTTTAATTACAGCACATACAAACCCTGGGTTTACTTTGTGTCCTTTGCAGTTGGGGCAGCGGTACTCGCGCGTGTCGATGCTGAGAGGTCCAAATGCTGGAGGAGATGCTGCCCTGACGCTCTGATGCTCTCCTGGGGTCTGCGCTGCTCCTTTTCCAAGGGAAGTTCAAGGCCATTTGGCCCCTGGGGTGCAGGACAAGAGCGTTTCTCTTGGGGGTGGGAAAGCCCTTGGTTAGGGGCATTGATGGCAGAAGACGGGACCTTTTAGTGAATGCCATTGGGAAGAGAGAAAACGCGAAAAAGGAGAGTTTACACCCATGGGCTCGATATGTCTTAATAACACCATAAAGTAACACATTTCCTACACCACTGCAAAGACCAACACATTTAACAGGTAGCACAACTCATTTTGTGTTATGCTTGCGATACGTCTCACTGAGCCCTCTAGTTTTCTAGAAATGCTCCTCGTGCCTCATCTGTTAATAACAATGCATGACGTCAAATTTGCCGTGTGGGATCCTGAAATTTAATTGCCTGATGAACACAGGTAATGATGTCTTGTGGGTTGCTCTGTGCAGCTGGGGGACTTCGCAACTGTTCCGTATTTTATTTCAAAATTACTTGTTTCCTGCACAGTTGGCCCCTTTTTATTCATGTTTAAGCTGAGCCCAGTAAGTTCAGGTCCCGTCTCGTCTCTGCTGGTACACCGCGCAGCTCTCGTGCTCCTGGCTTGCAGGAGAGCTGCTTCCAGGGAGCATCACTGATGTTGTGAGATGTGGTGGCGTTGAGACTTTTATCTGCTGAAAGACACTTGCTATGTTCCCCCCTAAATGCTCTCTCTAATACAGCAAAGCTGATCCCCTGTACTTCTCAGAGGTGATGCTCACTCCCGTTGTTCTCCTGCAGACTCCCTTGCACCCACGCGTTTCTCAGGCTGGGTGCCCCAGCCTGGGTTGCTGTTGCCAAGCTCAGAAAAACAGCTCCCCTTTTTGTTGCTGGGTAGCAGGCATTTTGAAATAACCCAGGATGAGACGTGCCTCTTCTGCAACAGCAATACTGTATAATTTGGTACATGAGTCACCCGGAAACAAAATCAAAGGTAGGGCAGAAAACAACCTCAGCTACGGAAATTGCAAACATCTGATAAAAGAGGTACCTATTTAATTGTAGACCCAAATGAGTAAATATGGCCAAAGAGGGATTCCCTGCATCCCCGTGCCCTCAACCGTAGTGGGAAGTTTGCACAGAACCTCCTTTTTCCAAGCAATGATGACGTGGCCTGGAGATGGGACATGGATGTGGTGGCTTCAGAAGGCAAAATTGCTTCTCCCCTGTCTGGCGGCTTGTTCTTTGGCTGTGATGAGGGTTCTGTGTGATGGCAAAGAGTAATTGCAATTAAAAAAAAACCAAATCTGTTGGACACTTCTGTAAAAAAATAGCTTGTAGGAGGCACAGGGCCACTACAGAAACGTTGCCATGAACCACACAGGGGTTCCTAGAGCATCCCGCAGTTGCTTGGTGACTAATGATATTGCTTCACATAATGTCATTCTGCACTGTAAACAAGCACAAAATCACTTAACTACTTAGTGACATGAAATATTCTAAGAAATTTGCCAAAGTGATTAATGTTAATGTTCTTGTTCAGCAAATTGAATGAGATTTAATTGGCACAGCTGCTGAAGCTCAATGCATTTGATTTGGCCCCGATTTACAAACTATATTATCATGAGCCTTCTCCTCTCCTTTCTTTCATTGTGAACCTCCACAGACTCTGCTAAGCATATTGCTCGGTAAATTACAGGTCTCAAAATGTTAGAGTGTCTTTTTTCAATCAATAAAACTCCTAAAGGGACCCTTTAAAGGATGCACAATTCCTGTCCCAAAGGATCTGTTCTTCTTCTCTAAAGCATAAGAGGTTTAAATGTTATTTTTGAATGTCCTTCTCATAATTCTTTACATTATACTCTTTCTACAATGTTATCTCACCCAGCGGTGAGTTTGTCCCACTGGACGAATGCTGACGTATAATTTAAATCATGTGCTTGAAGTCAGAGTCGTGTTGGAACAGAAATGAACCCTAGGACTTTATTTGATATTTATTAAGGATTTTTAAGCACAAGCCATTTCTGCTGGTGAGTCCCAACTGCCAGACCTGTGCAGGCAACATCAGAAAAACTGCACTTGTTCCTAAGACATTTTTAATTGCATTACGACATGGTACATACACTGGTTTCTTCTTTCCTTTTTTTCCCTAGGAAGTGGCATCTCTTTCTGCCCTGCGTTTTGTCCCACACAGCTCAGCTTTCCTGAATCTACTGGGCTCTGTTTTCCTGCCAGAGGAGCAGGGAAAGTCACATGGATCTGAGACACGCACAGACAGAAAGTTTTGTTTTACTTTATGCTTTACTCTCAACCAAATCTCTTCCTGGTGCCCCGTTCTGCCTCCCTGCAACTTTCCTACCCGAACCATTTTGCCTACTGTACGTATTGTAAAACAGCACACAGCTCTGGTGCGAATGGCACGGAGCTTCCAGCTTTGCAGGGCTCCTGTGCTTGCAAAGTCACCTTGATGATGTGTTGGGGGAGCTCAGCGAGCCGCCCTTCCAGCTGGAGCTACGGGCACCTGAGCCAAATTAGAGTTCAGGTCTTAATGACTGGGAAACATTGCATGCAGCCCCTCCTCCTCCTGGGCTGGAGCCCTTGCCAAGTTACTCTGGGTTTTGGTGGCTTTTTTTTCATGACAGAACTTTCTCTGATGGAAACTACAGTTTTTATAGAGCTACAGTCTTCCAGAGAGCTCTAATTTATTTCAGAATTGGATAATATTTCTTATCTGTGTAAGGAAAGTATAATGAACTATCAATTTGCATGTTACTGGTTTAGTTTTAAATGCAATAATATATACGAAGTATGTAATCACATGTGCTTTAATGCTTTGCTGTAGCTGTTGCATCCCAGGGCACGCGTCATGTGCCAGAGCGTTGGAGCTTTGACCCAGTGCCCAGAAATCCCCGAGGCAGCTGCACAGACCTGAAGTGATAACAGACCTCAGTTAGTCAGTGGAAAAAGTGCTGTTGCTAAGTTGCCCCTAATTTGTAGACTAATGGAAAACAGCCTGGGACACTTAATTTGTGGTTACCTAGAAAGGTGACCATGATAAAATCATTCCAGGGGTGCTAGATTTTGTCTAAATTGACTTTCCAAGTTCAGATTAGGTTTAAGGGTTTAAATGGCTGAGGGCTCTTACACTAAAAGAGTTTCTAAGATTTTAGGACCTATCTCTACCACCCAACCTGATGTTAGGAAACCACTTGCTGGCTGTGACTCTGAGTGCTTCTTCTCCCCTTATCCTCCAGTCTGACTACATCCTGCCAAAACACCCGTCAGTCAAGAGAGTCCTGTGAGATCGGTGGTTTGTGGCTCACTTGCTTTGTCTTCTCCTCCGTGGTTCTTAAAATCCCCCTTAGATCAGGCTTTGCAAAGAGCAAAGGCTGCAGGCCGTGTCTTAGCCTGTATCTGCTGTGGTGCACCGTGGTCCAGGCGTAACCCGATGGACGGAGCAAAAGCAAAGGGAGGTTTAAAAGGCCTGTGGCTTACCAGAGCCCAGAGTGTGAGTGGACTTGTGGCCTGCATGTCTTAAAGAACTGCTATGTCTCAAAAATTAGTCCAGTTACTAGTTATATATGTTGTTTTTAATAGCTGTATCTTGAATGTAAAACATCCTTCTTTTTTAAAGCCTATGAGATATTGGGAATAGTTTGGCTCATCTAACAAGAAATTAAACTGTTATTTTTATATTCTTAGTTAAACCCAATGTTTATAAATATACAGATTGACACAAATTACAAGAGCAAATGATCGCATAATCACTGTGAAATGAGTCACTCAGCATGATGTGAAGACTGAGGCTCGGAGCATCGGTAATTTAATTGTTAAAATGGTTTAATTGTTAAAATTGGTCCCGGTGGTTATTGGGAACAAGCAGTGGCTGCAGTTGCTTTGTTAGGGAGCTACCTTAAAAAAAAAAAAAGTGGGAAACCAGGTGGATGCAAATTATGTAAAAGAGGAACACCTGCTTGATGGCTTAAACCTTAATTGTGATCAATTGGTTCAAGCTGCAGGTGTTGACAGCTTCACTTGCATACATCCCTCCACTCTTTCCCTGGCCTCTCTGCGCAGTGGAAGTTTAATCACTTTTCTGGATTTCCTTCTGCTTTTTCTTTGCAAGAAATGCCTTATGCTCCTTGCCTGTCCCAAATAACTTGTCCCACCTGCTGAAGGCAGGAGGGTAGTTTCTGTGAAAGTTGCTGTGATGGAGGTCACGGAAAGCAGCGTCGAGCTTGAAGGGGATGTACCGGAGCGGGTTCCAAGGGACGTTGTACCCCCTGTGGCCAGAGGAGAGGGCGTGTTAAGTGAGGATGAAGCTGCAGGAGAAATGGTATGTACAAAAGGGGTGGAAGCTCTTAGCACTGGGTTATGCGTGTTGCACAGGTGGCTTGTTGCTTGGATAGAGATGGATGCCAAGCCCCTTTTTCTGCAAATGAGCCTAGTGTCAGGCGTTTTGCAGGTGGTGGTGGTATTTGTGCAAGGTCACAGTGAAGTCTAATGTTTTTCTCTTTTGTCCCTTCTCTCTACACCTCTAATAACTTACGCAGGAAGAAGAAAAAGTGCTGGGATCCCTCCCTTAAGTGCAGAGGGTGTTTTCTTACAAGGAGATGATGCATTGAGTACATAGCACCACAGACTTTTTGCTTAACCCGTCCTTGGAGCTGGATATTTTCCTGAATAGCTCTTTTACATTGAACTAGTTCCAGTGTTTAACACACTTGTTTATGGCAAAATATTGCAGCCTCTGGTGCCGAATGAAGGAATGTAGGGCTCCATTCTGTAATCTTGCTGGTGGTGGGACACACCGAGGCACTGGCTGCAACCAAGGCGCTGCCGCTGAGGGGCTCCAGCTCATTTGCAGGGGGGTGTCTTGGTCCTGGCTCCCGTCGGGCATGGCTCCCATCACCAGCATGGGTGATGTATCGGTGCTATAGCAGCCTGTTTGCTGATGCAGGGTTTCTGGGTAGTACGTGGTCCTGAATGATACATCAAGCGATATCGCTCTTCTGGTTCATTTCCAGGATGCTATTTATTATTACTTTTTTTTCTTTCTTTTTTTTCCCTGCTTCAGCACTTTCCCTTTGTTCCCTATGGGCACACGGTGTCAATGACAACCAGCCCTGCAGCTGGGGAGCACGTTGCAGCTCCAACTGGGTGTCCAGTACGCTGCTGGCAGAGGGGGATTCAGGGGTGACGTCTCTGTTCACAGACCCTGAGCTACAGCAGCGACTGAAGAGACGAATGTCAGTCTAAAAGGTGGTACAGAAAAAAGTGGAGGTTGGGAAGCACAGCCAAGAACAAAGATCCTATCTTCGCAGGAGAATAGATAGAGATTAGAAGAGATTTATCAGGTTGCCGTTCATTTGTGCAGGGAGGAGAGGGAAGATAATTCCCACCTGGGTTGTGAAAAATGCCTCTTACCTAAAGACAAACTTCAGCTTGGTTTGTTTTTTTTTCCTAGGCTGAAGGTGGCATTGAGCTTTAATATACCTACATACTTTTTTAACTTTTAAACTTGCACAGAAAACAAGCCTTAAACCGTCATCCACGAGGAGACCTAGATTTGGGTAAGGGGAACTGTACCGTCTTTTTAGTGCTATGTGCAAGGGAAAGACACTTCAGTTTGTTCCTAGATCAAAGGAGAAGGCACAAGGCAAGAATCTGATCCTAACGAATGACAAAATACTTCACACACACACCCCTCCCCCCCTAAAATGTAGAGTTAAAACAGTTTTAAAAGTGTTTTTTTTTTAAAGTTTCCAGTCTGGCAGATTTTTCCGTGATTATTTACCTGTGTGCATCCATAGTTTTCAGTAGAAGTGCTGCAAACCAAACCCATGCCATGAATAAGCGTCTGCAGAAAATACGTATTGCGGTGAAGATACCTGTTCCTGTGATGAGGTGCTCTCCCAGGTTGATATATAGGGAATGCATAGCAAGTAGTGGCTGCAAGGCATGCGTCTGGTTAGTATACGTGGGGAGCACCGGATAGGAAACGGTCCTGGCACCCAGTACTCTGCTTTCTTGCTTTCCTGATTTTAATGCTTAGTCCTTTGCAAATTTTGAGTAAAAAGATCACGTCATTGATATCTAAATACACCAAGGGTGAGAGAAGGCTTGGTAAAGCACTAGAGCTAAGGCGGTGGTTTTCATGGAGCCCGGCTCTTCCCACATCATCTTATTTTGTTTCAAGCATCTTGACTGATTTGAAGATTGTTTTCACCCCTTCTCCCCTCCCTGCTCCCCAGAGTAAGAACGTTACTGAGTAATGGCTCATTTGATTTTTAGTAAATAAGTTACTTCATGAAATATCAATTTTTACTCCATTCCCAAAGACTGAGACACATAATTGCCCATTCACAGTTCACCTGCACTCTGGAATGCCATCTACTGTTAATTGCCAGTTTATTATGATTGCACCTTAAATTCGTGATGAAGTTTATGTAAATATGGGTAGAAGGTCTTATGATGCATTCATCTGTGCGTGATGCACATCCACGTATCTTCAATTATAAAGCAGCCCAAGCATTGAGCAGTAACAGAACACCTATCAGAAAAGGGAGAGAGACAGACATGTTAATTGTGGTTAATAACTTTGCAGGGGAGTGAAGCAGATGGTTTTGCCCATCTTTGTCTCTGATAGTCTCGAAGTTTTAAGGAGTATGTGATACCATGGAGACGCGGAGTCCCAGTCGTAAGGGATGTTGAAGTACTCTGAATAAGAGTAGCCTAAAATGAATGCTGGTGGAAGGAAAGTGGGGTTCCTTGTCAGTGAGATCTTGACACGCTTCCATTGCTCTTCCCAAGTTTCAGGCTTGTCCTAAGACAACCAAGGAGTGTGGGGGGGAAAAGTGAATTAAAACAAAACAGAAAAACCCAAAGCAAAAAATGCAAATGTGTTAGTTTGACAGAATTGTTTTCATTTAGGGGAACAGTTGATTCACAAGCTCTATATTTGGAGCCATAGGGGTTTTTTTGGTTTTTGTTTGGCACTTCACAAAGTGGGCCCCAAATCAACATTTCTTTCCTGAACAATATGAAGAGCTAGACCTGTCAAACTCAAAGATTAAGAAATGCAGAGGGATTCGATCACTTTAGCTTCCCCCTTCTCTACAAAATAAAGTAAACCGACAGCCTGTGCAAACTCACCAGGAGTCAGAATGAGCACGGGTCCCCCCAAAAACATCTAGCCTCTTTGTAGGTGGAATAGATATCCAACCCCATTCTGTGACTACCTGGGTAGGAACATTCCCATCTGCTTTTTTGTTTTGTTTTTATTTTCTTTCACAAAATAAACGACAGCCTGTGCAAACTCACCAGGAGTCAGAATGAGCACGGGTCCCCCCAAAAACATCTAGCCTCTTTGTAGGTGGAATAGATATCCAACCCCATTCTGTGACTACCTGGGTAGGAACATTCCCATCTGCTTTTTTGTTTTGTTTTTATTTTCTTTCATTTTTATAGGGGTCTATACACATCTGTCCCACTTCTCTTGTCCCTGCTTACAGGCTGAATCTTGTATTTCTTCATGGCTGGGATGAACCGGTGGATGAAGCCTGGCAGGGACACCAGCAAGTAGGAGCCCTGGTAGATGAGCAGGGAGCCCCACGCTGCCAGCTGGATTTGCTGTATCTCTGCAGCACGTTGCTCCAGGCAGCCCGGAAAGGGCTCTGCAGTGCATTTGGCAGCAAAAGGGAGTCAAGGTGAACCATTGCTAGAAAGGACGTGACGGGAGAAGACAGCACTGTGGGATGAGGAGGCCACTGTCTTGCAGGTAGATACAGAGCTCCTCGGGGCGTCCCTTGCTGGCTCCGCCAACTGGTGCTGCAGTGAGGTGTGCTGCCTCGGTGGCATTCACATGGGAACCACACCGAGTGTGTCCTTTTCTCTGCCTGTGTTCATGCGACTCATAATCACGTTTGCCTTTGGGGGCTTTTGAGCTTTAATGTGTATGCTTTATTGTCTTGAGTGCTGAAATTGAGAAACTGTTTTTCTCAATAAAAAAGAGAGGGGTCACTTAGCTTTCGGTGTCCTCCTGGGCTGGAGTAGTTTTGGTCTCCATTGCAGTGGTTTTTAACATTGCAACTGTGTTCTAAACAAGAATTTCTCTTATGCAGCAATCACCTAAGAATAATGAACCAAAATTAACCATCTCTGTTTTCTGTGTGTTTAAACATGATTAATTAGTATGTTTGTTAGTTATTAATATGGTGAGCAATTATTTCAGAAAAATGGAAATAAAGTCCTAAAAATGTGCAATAGAAAATAGCATCAGCTTCCTCCTGACTCAAAAAGCAGAAAGGAAGGATTCCCTTCTGCCACAGCTGGTGCTTATCTACTGATAATTTAGGTTGTGCCAGATGTGTGGCTGGAGATACTAGATATAATCAGACAGCTTCCCCATGAGTTTCTCTACGTGCTTTTATTGTAATGCCTGTCTGTTTTTTCTTTTTCCTTATCTAGTTAATTCTGCAGTTTCTCGTGCATGCAGCAATTTGAGTTGATGCGTGGTAAACGTCTGTTTTCTCTCACGCTGTCAGGGTGCAATCATCCCCAGCCTGCGGGAGCAATCACTTCAGCAAAACCTCTTTGAATCAGCGGCGGTGGGCGGAAAGCGCGTTAGCGACCCGATGGGTTTCGGCATTAGGATGTGCCGTACAGGGTGCTGGACTCTGGGGGTCAGCACAGCCAAATAAATGAGTGCAAGCCTGGCTAGCAAGAGCCATTTGCAATGCAGGGTATCTTCCTCAAAATAGTGTTTTTGGGGAAAAAAAAGAATATTCTCAAGCAGTGCAACTTCATAATACAGGCACCTGTGCTCTATTTTGCATATAGATTGGGAACAAAAGTACTGTAATACAAATCTTTCCTGCTCTGTTTTCCAACTTCATCGTATCTGAGCCCCTCATGTGATGACACATGTTAAAAATAACTTGTGGACAGGAAGCAGGAGTTTTTAAGGGCTATTTTTTTTAATCCACGTTGTTCGTCATCTCTTTTCTAGTGTGAGGCACTTGAGGGGGCAGTGAGCTGAGCCACAGCTGATGGGAGGGGGGAGCCTTTAAATTGGTCTTAGGGGCAAAACCTGTGCACTGTGGGGTTGTAGTCTTAATTAAGCTAATACTGACTACCTGTGAACTTAGGGGTGTCATTTACCCCACTTCACAATTTGATTCTCTGCTAATTGTTATCCCCCCCAAAAAACCCCACCAAAGCAGAAGTTATCCCTCACTGATGGAAAATGAGGGAGGTGGAGGCCGTCTCTCCAGCTGGGGCATGCCAAGCACGCCTGGGAGACATTTGGCCTTTTGCCTCTTGTATACAGGACTGAATTCTGCCAACGCTTGTGCTGTTCCTTGGGTGCAAGTGATGAGGACCGGGACACCCAGTGGTGGCGGGTGATCCATGACACAGAGCTGGAATAGCATGTCTTTGCCCACGCAGCAAAATGCGAATGAGCCCATCTGGAAACGAGCTTAGAAAAAAGCACCATGAGATAAAAGTGATCGGATCTCACCCCTGCCACGTCGCTCTGTGAAAGCTGGTGCTGGGGCAAGGAAGGGCTACCTGGGTGGTAAATGAGAAGTTGGGAGTAAGGACTGGACTGCTGCTTTTGGGAGCAGCGCAGGTTTAGGTTGGCTTCAATGCTGCGTGGTCCAAGATCTTGGATCCATGCTTTGTGGCAATCTGAGCCAAACTAACAGCTGGTCTCAGCCTCTTCTTGTCCCCAACTCTTAACCTCTTTTCTGGACAGATGGGAACTTTCTGCTGATTTGTGTCTCTGAAAGGCCTCTGAGGTGTGATGTGTGCACAGGGAGGGGAGGAGAACCAGAGGAGCCAGGTCAGCATGGGATGCTGCACAGCCTATTTTATGGGTGGTCTTTCACCCCTCTTGCTTTTTGATTCTTCAGATAGTTAAAAACTGGGTCTCCTGCACACCTGCTGTGATCCACTGCTTGGGTATGTGGATGAATAAGTGAAGGAATTATTTCAATTACATTCATTTTCTTAAGTCCTAGAGGCATGCTGGGCATGCGATAGGTGCCAGGCAGTCACACGGGACTCTGCTCACAGGGAAAAAGGTAAAGGCAGTGGGAAACCTCAGTCACATGGACCCGCAAGGAACCTGCTGGTCTGGACAGATTTTGGGGGGCAACCTCCTCATGTCATGTATTTTATCCACACAAAGCTGTACCATGCATATAGCTAGTGTGTATATATAAATATATATATAATATATAAAAAAATTATATATATAAAAAACATTGTTTGCTTTTCTAGATAGAACTTTTTGTCAAAATGCACTGGGAAAGCTGAGGAAAGGGATCATGAAGCACAGTAATTGGTGAAACTGGGATTTGCACCAGGGCATGATGACTGGGCCACAGTGACTTTCCAAACTCTCTTTTCCGGCTGTTTGCTGCCCCACAGAGATGTATTAGTTCAGTGTTTAGTAGATTAGGTCTTCATTCGCATGGGGTTTCTTGGTTGTCTGGCTACTGTACTGCTACAAGGCCTTCTTGAAGTCCCCTTTTATTCCGGTAGGAACTGAAGTTTGCCCCATCGGCACTGCCCAAAAGTCTTGTTAGCAATCAGACACCCTGTGCTTGAAGTGCTTGGTTCAAAATATAAACTGAAGGAAACTGCCTTTTGGAAAAAGTGAGCGATTTGGAGATCCCATTAGAGGAAGAGCGAGATGGATGCTCTCCAGCTGCTGAGTTCTCTGATTCAAATCTAATAGAAACGTAATTTAAAATTTGAGTCTCGATGATATTACCGAAAAACTGCTCAGTTCTGTACGTAAAATTTAGAAATTTCTGGAGGTCAAAGAGTATGATCTTGTTGAGCATGTACAGGTGGTTGCAGGGCAAATAGTTACTCTTGGTTGAAATTAGAGCCCCTTATTTTTTTCAATCCACCTCCTGCCTTGCCTGATATTTTTTTTTTTTAAATATAAACTCAAGAAATAAGGCCCAAGAGGTTATTAGCATCTTACTTTTCTATCATAACACAGAAGCAGACATTGCCTAGGAAGGGACTGATTGCCTGTGCTGTCACTGGCTTGTTGATGAACCAGAAAAGCTTCTATTAGTTTATGGAGATGAGATTTAGACTTACACAAAAGCTTGACACCATGCCATGTTTTTAATTAGTTTTTTTGAAAAGATATGTGAGATGAGACATGCATACACCACCGGTTCTTAATGTGGCTGTTAAAGAGAAGGTTTTTGGTTCTGAAATCTGTATCTTTTTGCAGTTAACTTGTTTTATAATTGCCATTTAAACAAATTGGGGCCAGACTGCTCTAATTTTGCTCTCCCTAGAAAATACCTTTCTTCTTCAGTTGGCCTGTTGCTTTTAGTGAGAGATTGTCTGGATTTGACCCCAAGTAAATGTAAAAGCAACAGGTAAAATCAAGTTTTACCATTATGTAGTTTTAGAACTAGTTGAGCCCTTTCAATAAAAATATTTTTCCTTGACATTTTTAATCTTATGAAGCTACAATTGATTCCTGAAATCTCATGACTTATGGATGGGATTATTAGTGGAACCTTGTCTCATTGTGGCCTCTTGAGGGAGTTACCAACTTTCTCAAGCCCTTTTTTCTTTTGTGGACGGCAAGCAGCTTTACGTAGGCAAGTCAATGTGGAAAAAAAGGTAACTTGTTCTGTTGTCTGGTCACCTTAAAATATCCCCTAAACTGTTCAGGGCATTTCAGTTTCAGGTTCTGACAGACTAACAGATGACAATTTGTCTCATAACCTTTGGTAAATCCAGCTTTAATTAACTGACATTTTAATGGTCCCTAAATGGTCAGCGGCTTCAATATAACTTAATTTAATTTGTAGGGCATGATTCTGCACGCATGAAGTCCGTAGCCAAACTCGTGTTCACGTCCCTGCTGTAGCAGTGCCAGTCTGCCATCACTCACTCACAAGTGTCATTAAGAGCTGGTCCAAAGCCCAGATAAAGGCAGTGCAAAGATAGCAGGAGGCTTCGCAAGCTCTCCATGGAACTGCAAATTTGTAAACAACTGAGGAGTTAGGGGTTTTTATTTTTTTTAAAGAAAAGACAAATTCCCTGGAGGAGTCGTGCCCGGTATAGAATGGTGCCTGGAGGGGTGCCTTGCTGTGGAGCTGAGGACTCTGATGCACATCAGCACAGCTCACTCCTCCCTAACTCAGTTTAATATCATCCCCAACCAGCTGTGAGAAGCCCCCAAAAGACACCGAGAAAGTACTGGTTTGCAACCTTGCAAATGTCTGAGGTTGGCTTTCTAAAGGGGTATAGAGGAAAAACACCATAGCCCCATCTCTGAATTGCTGAATCCTTGCTATGTTGAGGGGCTCTGTTTTCTGCAGAAATAAATGTTTTTGAATAATCTTCTCTAAAACAGGTATTAGAAACTTAAAATAGTAACTTTAAATCTCTCCTTCATTAAATATATTTTGGGTTCCACTTTCCATCCTGTATCTGGGCTCCAGCCCTGGAGGACAGGCCAGAGAAATACTTCACCTGCTCTTCTAATGCAAGTCATATTTGTCCTGTTGAATGAGGCTGTCTGTAGCCTAAAAGTACACAAGAGATGTGCAGAGCATAAGCTGAACAAATGTTAGCACTTGAGTTCGAAGGCCTCTATTAAATTGGCCTACATATATTTGCCTGTGTACTTACTTAATTCCTTTCTTTTACCCAATATATTCAGTATCTCGGGGGAATATTTCTGTGGTTTACTTGCTGGCAGCTGTATCTCTTCTCACCTACAAGTGGTGTTGCCTCAATCTCTACGTGTTGCCAAAGATGTTGATTTACTAAGAAGGTAAAATACTGTGTTTATAACAGAAAATTTAATTTAGTGATTTAGGGGGGGGAAGAAAAAAAAAAAAATCTGTGCTTGATACCTTAGCTGTCCTGGTCACTGTGCCTCTAGCTGGAACATGTACAGCTATTTTTGTAAGTTGTGTACTTGAACTCTTTGACCACTAAGGAGAACAGAAATGTTCTGTAATGCTGTGAACGGGTTTGATAATACGTTATGTTCATTTAGTACCTTTTTTGTTCTGATGGTGCTGTATGAAAGCCTTTATGAGCTGGTACAGAAGTAGGTTTAGACTATTCTTTTTTGCATATCTGCCCCTTATAATTCTTGAAGGGCACATTTAGCACTGGAAGGGGTTTACCCTCGTTATGGGAGGGTGCGGGAATCTTGTCAAAACTGCAAGCAGGTACTATTTGACATGTTTTAAAGGTAAATGGTATGACACCCCATTTCACTCTATCATCGTTATAATGAACAATAATTTGATAAGCTTACTCTGGGAGGCTTGGAAAGACTATGCCAAACTTGATGTGATGGCTTTGCTGTGTCTGGATTCATCAGCTGTGTCGCTTAGAGACGGTTTCTCTCAAGCTTGTAACCTCGATGGCGGGTTTCCATCCTTCACTTCCCTGCTGTGTTGACTGAATGATCTCTCAGCCTCCTTCCAACGGGGTTTATTTAAAACAGTAATAATGGAATTGGAATGTAGAAGAATTATGTACAGCCTGGTGGTGTAAGGCACTGCCAAGAACAACTATGGAATAAAGAAAGACAAGTCTGCTTACAAAGCCCTAGATAATAGGAGGATTAGCAAACTCAGCTGCTGACAGGTAGGGATTCAGCAAGTGAAACTCTTACCCCAGCGGCCAAACGTCCTCTCTGGCATCAAATCCCAGCATCTCCGGCTGTGCCCCTCTGCATTTAGCAGGAGGATGCTCACCCAGCCATGCCCTGGCAAAGCCCCTCAGGGGTTCACCTCAAGGCCATTCACTATGCTCAGCATGCACTGAAATTACAATTAAATAATTAAGTAATAATATTTTGTAATTTAACTGTTACCTCAATGCATCAAGGATTTAAAGGAAAAATTAACTTCTTGATCCTCTTGGTGTAATACTGCTTTTACAAACTCCAGCAGAGAATGGGAAACCTTGCCAATATTCTGAATATTGCTAAATGTTGCCTTTAACCATGCAATGTTTTAGCACACAGAGGATGAAATTAATGAATCTGATGATAATGAAAGTATAACTGAATGAGATGAGCATTATGCCTAGAGGCTAATCATCAAGTAATTCAAGTGAGGCTGCAACTGTAAGATTAAGATTTGTGTGATAACATTGTTTACCTTTATATAAACCAAAATCCAATACTTAATAAAGCAACAGCAAATTAAGTTAGAGGAAAAGAAAACATAAAGAGATTCCCCCCCACTCCTTATCTGTCACAAAACAGGTAGGTTTAGTTAGCTGTATTTGTTGTTCAGAAAAACCTGGCATTTCTGCAACCTGAAACACAGAAGAAAATTTGCTCGAGACCCTCGGAAAAGGTGGGGATCTCTCCAAGGCAGACGAATGCACGGTCTTT